TTGTCTGTCAGATATATAATTAAAAGAAGTTAAATGTTTTTCTAAACGGCTATACAAAATTCTTTCCAATATTTTTGATAGAACAGGTAGCACCGAGATCGGTCTATAGTTGCCGGGGTCTGATGTTGTACCGGATTTATGGATAGGTGTAACTTTTGCCATTTTTAGGGTATCAGGAAATTTTCCAGTGAACAGAAGTTTATTGAAGCATTTACTCAGGGCGCTAGCTATTAGATTTTTTATACTTTTTATTGCTTTAGTGTTTATACCATCTAATCCAGTACTGCAGTTGGAGTCGAGTTTCTCTATTATTTTAGAAATTTCAGCCTCAGAACACGGATATAGCCTAGATAAAACTGGAGTGTCACTAGGGGGATTACAAGGAAGAGCGCGAGAAGAGTTGTCATGGAAGTTTTTGGGTATGTTATTTGCTAATAGTGGGCCAATAGTAGCAAAGTAATTATTAAAAATTTTGCACATGTCATTTTCGTCAGTTACATATTTTGAATCCATAAGCAGTTTTGAAGGAGCACTAATTTGTTTGATCTTGTTATTCGCTAATACATTTACTAGGTTCCATATTCTTTTTGGCTTATTAATACAGTCATTAAATTTCTTGTAGTAATATGAATCCTTTGTGTTTTGAATTTGTGCAAATACTTGTTGTTTCTTTTTAAAATATTCTGCTTTGAGGTTGTTGTTATGTGAGTTTTCTTTAAGTGTGATCCAAAGCTTGTTTCTTTGATTGATGCTGTTTATTATATCTTTGTTTATCCAGTCGCTTTGTGGAGTATTTAGGATTTTTGTCTTAATTGTTTTACTTCTGTCTATCATCATTTTCATTTTGCTTTCTAGTAGGGTGTAGTCGTCACTCAGTTCTTTAATATTTGCTGATCTCAGGAGGCTCTGTAGCTTTGTGTAATTTATCGCTTCGTATCGGGTTCTAATTTTTGGTGGGGATTTCGTTTTTTTTATTTCAACAAATATCTGTTTGTGATCGGACATCGATGAATCGATTATTGCCATATGAAAATTATCATTTTTAAGGTTAGAGCTGACATGGTCGAGTATAGATTTTCTAGTTTTTGAGTCTCTTGTGCAGAATTTTTTACTGATTTTATTTAGTAGTGTGTGTCCGGCTGCATTTACAAGTTGTTTGTATTGTTTTGTTTTGCTGTCTTTAGTTAGAAGGTCAATGTTGAAGTCCCCAAATACTATAGCTCGCTTCTTTTGTTGTAGTTGATCGTCATAAACTTGCAAGAAATCCTTAAAATTCGTATCACCGGGGTTGTACACTATACCCACATCTAGAGCGTATCTTTCTAAGCGAATCCATAAGTAATGTTCCCTCCTTCATACTTGGACATTGATAAACTATGCCTCAAATCATTATGGACATACGCAGAGACTCCACCGCCTCTAGAGTCTGTCCTATAGTTGTAGTAGTGTGTGTAGTTGTTTATCTGTAGTTGCATGGCTTGAAATTCAGTGCTAATCCATGTTTCAGTCAGTAAAATAAGGTGTATCGTGTTAGGCAGAGACTGAAGAATACATTTAAGCTCATCAAGCTTTCCTTTTTTGCATATGCTACGGGCATTAAAGTAGAAAAATCTAAGGCTTGATTTATTGGTTGTAACGTCATGGTAGTTGGTAATTACTTGATAGGTATTGCTTAACATATCTACAGTTTTATTGCCCGTATCTAGTTTTTTGGCGTAGTTTTAACAATAGTAGGGGTGCCATTTACATATTTAATTGTGAGGTCATTCTCTCCTTCGTTTTGACGACGTGTTAGTTCATCCTTTACATTTTTTAGGTATTTTTGTTGAGCTGGAGTTTGGTCTGAGAATATTTTGATGTTTTCTGGCAATTTCTCTTTGTTACGGAGGAGGTGTTTGACTGGTGCTGAGGCATCAAAACACAACTTTACTCTGCGGACTTTGCCAGGCAGATATTTCCCTAATCGAAATATCCTAGTTGGTTTAGGGAGGTCAAGACCAACCGATGTAGTTATTTTTAGAAAATCGGCTTCATCCCTAGTTGCTCTCTCCACCGCACTCGTAGAAGATTGTTCAGTCAACCCCATTATAATAACGTTTTTTTCTCTACTATTGCGATCCAATACCTCTTTGATTATATGCTCATGCAGAGGAAGCTGGTTGTTATTTGATGTCGAGGAATCAGACGATATCTTTAGCGCGTGGACATTTGACTCGAGGGATTTAATTTTATCATTGCCTTGAGATAGTTGTGTTTGTAATTGTGACATGTGTGTTTGTAAGTCTTTCTGTTTGTTTGCCATACTGGACATGGATAATTTAATATCATTGATCTGTGTTGCATTTTCACGGATCAGGTGTGCAGTTTGTTCGTTAAATGATTTTAGCTCAGAAATATGCGACTTGACCTCAGACAAACTTTCTTGCATTTTATTCATAATCTGTTCATTAGATCCAACGTACTTTTCTAATAATGAACTGATTCGTACCAACTCCGACCTAATGTCCTTGATATCATTAGAGCATTCACATTCTTGTTCGGGTTGTTTTCTCTTTCGGAAAGTTATTTGTGAATCAACAGTAAGTGTGCTTAACTTCGATAGATCAGGATGTGAACCACCGCCCATGTTTACGGCGCTGCCGGTTGACTGCCGGGGTGGCGATCTCTGTACACTCATAATAGTGTAGCAACAGTAGTCAGCGCAAGTTAATGTTATGTTGTACAGGCGCGCGTATGTAATAGGAACGAAGTTGTGTGGTGCTCTGTACAGCGTGTATATCGATGAACGCAGAGTCACTGTGCGAGCGAGTCAAAAAATAGCAACTGTACTACTCACACGGGGGTGAAGCGAGGGCGAGCGGGCGTCGCTGCGCACGGGCTGCCCTGGACGGCGTAGGACACAGGAGCGTAATGTTGCAATTACAATACAGTTATTTTCACACTTTGAGTTATATAGTCATCAAAATATAGGTTATATTCGAATATAGGTTATATTGGCTAATTTTTAGTAAGCACTGACACACGTCTGACTTGTAGGAGCAACGACGAACGTATCGAATGTTTGACTAGATGAACTGTTAATAACCCGAATGTTAACTGTCAATAGCCCGTTCAAAATAACTTATCACGTGGAATTACCATGGTAGTTTGAATCAATACCTAGTTGTTTACCATATGCACCTACTAAGATAATCCAGAAAATTATGTTACTCGTGAATAATTTGAACATAAATGCTGAAAGATGCAAAACATTTTGCTGGGTTAGTAGAATTGAATAATACACAGCGACGAATGAAAAAATGTTGGCGGCAAGCACCTATGGGTGTGGCAAACAAGTATTTTTTTACCAACCTAAGAAAGCAATGGTACAGACAGAAAAACAAAGCATGGCCATAATAATTGATTGATCGGTTTGGTACAAGCACTAATCACGACCAATAGGAGATTAGGGTGTCCGACAGTACTGTATGTTACTAAAAATGAAACAATTATTCAGATATTATGTTTTAATGCACAATAAATCTTATACATTTATTTGTTGAAATGAAAATGACTGCACAACACTACATAACAGCCTTTTAATCCTGTAGCCCAGGGTCCAGTGGATACAACACACTGGACAATATTATTACGCAACTATTTCTACTTGGGGACACCAAGTTGTTAGTTCAGAGCCTCTAAAGCAATCACCAGTTATGTTTCAATCAGTTTCATTACAACAAATAAGTAATACAAATGTATCAAAAAATCACACTGAAAGCTTAAATGTAGTAAAGTACGAGTATATCAATACACAAACATTAGAGTACACATCGGTTCTTCACGTAAAGGGGTTACTGTCAGCCATAATATTATCGCGAGATCGGTGGCAATGAGGGTTTACGATATTTTTTCTGCCACCAGACGGCGCTTCGTGTGCGTCAGGTCCAAACAGCTGTCAGATAGCACAGATTCTTACAGAACGTATGATTTTTTAGTGAATTCGTCTATGAATTTGGAAGTGGTATTGAGTTTATTATAGATTACGGCCAGAGAAAGGTTGCCGAACTGAAGATTGTGCTCAAAAAGAGAGGCGCAAAAGTTTTATTTGCACACATAGGCACTGCACAACACTGTGGCATTTTAGAAAACAATATTCCTTTTATAACGTTTTTAAGAATGAATAAACCAAAAAAAATGATCGTTGACAGGTGGTTCGACCTGACGCTACAGTGCTGCCATCTCACGTGGAGCATTTCAGAAAACCCTCATTCCTGTAAAATGCACGCTTCTTCGTTCACACTTTACGATTTAGCTTATATTATTTCAGTTCTAGGTTTAATATCTATACAAATAAATGAAATTGAAGTGTCTGTAATGTATAAATAATAGGTTTTTTGCACCATACCTATGCCTAAAAACAAGTTTAAGTCTCCGTCTGTTTGTTCCTGTATTTTATACCAGGCTATTTTTCCTCTTAGAAAAAACATATAAAATTTAGACTTTAATATTCTCTTAAAGAGTTACCAGAATACTTAGAACATTGGTTTGGTTCCCATTGTACAACACCGATATACACGAACAATACTGAACTACAAGTAATTACAAACTTGAGTACTTCACGCAAATGAGTACAACCGTATGTTTAATAAAAGTGATACTTACTTAGAAATATAAGTTAAGTTCCCTACTGGTGAATAGACACATAAAAACAGCAGTTTTCAGGTTTTTACCATAACTCATTAACCAACTCGAAACAGTTAGATTAATTTCAAAAAAAATTTTTTTTGCGGCAACATTTTTATAGAGTATTTAATCTCAAAATATTGATAACAGTGTCCGTTTTCGTTTAATTTAGGAATACACATATTCGTTCGTTTTACAAACATATACATACAACATTAGGTAAATATAGTAGCGATGATATATGAAAATATTTTTTCAAAATAATTCAGAGGTCGTTGATAATAGGTAACATCAAACAATGTTGATCAGTAATGTTGTACTGAGAGCGGGGACAGTTAGGTCTCGCGCTGCTTCACCTCCCAGTACTCGCTCGGGAAGTGCCTGTTGGTGTGCCTCATGCCAAGACAATGCATTATATTCTGTTCGCCTGTCCAGGTTTCATCTGGGTCATCGTACATTACAAACTTCGCCTGTGAAAGTAAAGTAAGTTAAGTAAATGTCAAACTTTTTACTGACCAAGAAAATATATCAAATTTTTAAACATATATATTATTATCTTGTGTTATGACAAATGGTGTAAATAACTCGACGTTGTTATATTTATCAAGATTACTACAAAACTATTATTTTATAGATAATATATCTGTATACACATGCAAAACAATGGTTTTTATTTAAGAGTATTCAACTAAGCTATTATATTAACAGTAAAAAAACTTAAGAAAGTAAGTGGTGGATAATAATGTAAACAGTGTTTGCCACCTTAGAGATCATTTGGGCGACGTGGATAGCGGTCTCGGTGTGGAGGGTGATGTTAGCGCATTTCAAGATAGACTCGCCCTCGGCTAGAGCCATGTATATTATCATTTGGTCCTGAAATAATAACAAGGTTTTAAACTTTTATTATTTTAATTTCGGTTTAGTCAAAGCGTGCTATTTAAAATTGTTTCTTTTTTTTTAAGACAATTCCCGCATTAGGAATATATCCCGTGTCGCGGGAGACTTTGCAAACATATATGAAACGGGCACAAAGATCATCCAGATTCGGAATAACAATTTGTGGATCACACAAAGTGTCGTCCCATGTGGGAATTGGACCTACAACACTCAGCGTAGTAGCGAGCGGCGTGGCGACTGCTTAAACCACTACGAAAAAATTTGAAAGGTATATGCAAAGAATAAAGCGTGGAGGACCTGCGCGTAGTTGTCGACGCAGGCGCCGCATTCGATGAGCGAGCGCAGTGTAAGGCCGGCCTGGCGCCCCACGTGGTCGGGCGCCGCGCCGCGCCGGCCCAGCGCGTCGGCGCCCAGCGCGCACCCGCGCTCCGACTCGCACGCCACGCTGCCCGACACAACATTACACACCGATACTTTATTATTTAAAAAAAAAAACAGAAAACCTGTCTGCTTGAAAATCGTTACACAGTTCAAGATACAAGATATTTTATTTGCATAAACATGTGTACATTAAAGATGTTAAATAATATTGCCTGATCGACATGTTTGACCTTTACCGGTGTACAAATATAGAATTAATTTAACAATATCATCTTTCTACATGCAACATAAAATCGTTTAATAACTTTTAAAAGATTTGTTAGGCGGGAATTTGAACTGAAAGGGCGGAGGATTTTGAACAGTTCAAATTCCCGCCTAGAATCCTCAAAACTAAGACTTGGCTTAAAGGTCTTGTTACCAGGCCATAAAAATACAACAACAATAACATTTTAAAAAAACAATTACAACGAAAGGACTCGAATATCATGGTTATAGGTTTACATTATCAACTATTAACGTCGTCTACATTAATTATATTTTATATTCCCGGCACCGTGCGACTTGGAGTTAGTGTTTAACCACGAGTACGGTTGTACGTAGGACCACGACTTTTAGTTACCCGTTTATATTTTCTTGACCTACGACACTAAGCGTATTTTCTAAGTCTTTTGAAGACTTTGTTTAAAAAATGAAATAAAAAAACGCTCTCGTTCAAAACAGTTGACAGTACGCTTTCAGCATTTATTATAGGAATAATTTCTTGAAAAAGAACGGAAATGCATCACAAAAAGCTACGTCACATGAAACGGGCGCTATTTGATTCGACAGAAAGCGCGCGTCGTGCTGTTATTAGCCATCAAATGGTAGATGAATTTCTTTAATAGGTTTTTTTTTAAGCATACTTATTTATAGAGTACCGCGTACTGAAAAATGCAACGTGGGTAGGCCCCCCCACAAGGCGGTCCGACGACCTGGTGAAGGCCGCGAGAAGCCGTTAGATGCGGACAGCACAGGACTGGTTTCTGTGGCGAACTTTGGAGAAGGCCTATGTCCAGCAATGGAATCTTTCGGCTAAGATGATGATAGTGATGAATTTTATTAAGTGCAGTGTTGTGATCATACAACAACACCAGGCCAAATTGCCTTCTACGATTTTCTAAGAAGAGACGCTATACGTTTAATTTTCAACTCACATAATACCGCTGCAGTTGTCTGGTGCAGTTTTACTATTCTCCTTGTAAATCTGGATATCAATACTTTCGTGTACCGGGGATATTATTTCCTTCACCCCATCCGCCATTTCGTGCGCCAGCTGAGAACCATATCAAAATCATTATGATATAATCTATACAAATAAATAAAATTGGAGTGTAATATTAAAATAACCGCTTTTTACTAAATGCATTTGTATGTTTACACGGTACATATGCCAAAATAACATTTTTTTACAATTTTTGTCTGTCTGTCTGTCTGTTTGTTCCGGGTAATCTCTGGAACGGCTGGACCGATTTCGACGCGACTTTCACTGGCAGATAGCTGACGACATAAGGAGTAACTTAGGCTACTTTTTTAGACTAGCTTCGCCCCGCGGCGTTGCCCGCGGTTATAACAACAAACGCGGGTAACACCGCGGGTCTCAGCTAGTAAAAAATATGCAACAACATAATACCAATCAAACTTACTTAGACGTTACTATGTATAAAAGATACGCGTACATTTGAATTATATTGAAGTCAAACTCTGGTGGAACTGGTGTATTCTTGAAGTTCATTAAATCTGCGTCCTGTGATCTACGGCCATTCACGTCCCAAAGAGAATCCTTAGGAGGCTCTTAGTCAGTAGAGGATAGTTTAACAATAGGGGTGACCCTTACTTGTAATCACAATCAGGCAGCGAAGACCCGCGCTATCATGCTTGAGACCCAGTGCGCCTCTAATCATGTATTAAGAGTACATAACCTTAAGTAGGTTAAAATATTTCAAATTTCGAATGTTTAAATAACGACCTTTATGGGTAGAGTTCCAGCCACAAAGCTCCAGCCGTACACCTTGACAAGTTTTCCCCGTTCTATAAGTTTGACGGCCTGGAACTTCTGGACAGGCTCCACTTGGACGGTGACGTGACCACCGCCTTTTGGATAATATCTGAATAAACAATTAACATGCTCAGTAGGCCAGCTGTTTATAAATCCTAAACGATCGTCATTTAATATCGGTCATTGCGTACAAAATGCTCACTTATTAAAATCTGTTAAATAAAAAGCGACTCTATCTTAAGTCGAATTAAGCTCATTACACATTAAATCCAAAAGTAATAAAGATTAAGAATTATTTGTTGGTCGTTTGAATGACAAATAACTCACCCTCGCCTATGGACCTTCACGTCCACGTTAACACCAAATTTCATTAGAGTTGTCATAAAGACTCCAGTGAAATAATCAATCTGGGGGGCCATTTCAGCATTAGTACCTCCCTTCAGATCCAGAGTGACTGGTCCATCAGCCATCAGCGCACACGGAAGAGCCACTTGGAGGAGCAGGGTGATAGACCTAGTTGTAAAAAATAAGATTTTTTAAATTTTCTATTTAATATTCACATAGTGATATTTGGTAAGTTTTTTCCTTTTCAACATGTGCTTTACTTTACTGATTTAGAATGATAGTTTTATATGTATTCAAGTTTCAATAATTTTGATTTTTTTTTTTCATTTCTTATACTGTTAGGTTAAAGTTTATTTCTTGTTTATTTTTTAGGAAGACGTTCATTAATTACGTGAGGTGATAATTGCGATTTTACGACCCCTCCAGTGTAGACATGGGAAATAATCACAGTTTAGGGTTGCTAGGTAGGCAGGTTAGACGCTATTTAATAACAAATCTAGTATTTTTTAAATTATTATGTAGGGAATCGTAGCTATATATAACAAAGTAATTTTTAGATTTATTGTTAAAAAAGCGAAATAGCGTCTTTATGCATTGACTGAAAACAGCTTATTAGCAACAACGCGTGAGTAAGTAGTAACCCTACCCTACATTCGAAAATCGAAATTGTCCCATGTCTACTCCAGTGAGATACAGATTTTTAATGTGTGTGTGTGTGTGTGTGTGTGTGTGTGTGTGTGTGTGTGTGTGTGTGTGTGTGTGTGTGTGTGTGTGTGTGTGTGTGTCCCTCCTTCTCACTCCGCACTTCTCTACATGAGATTGAGCGAGATCCTAACTAATAAATAAACAGATTAAGTGGGAAAACTATGGGCATAATAATGCAAGAGGTGAGGCTCCGGGAGTTGGGGAAAAAAATCAAAGGTCCAAAAAGCGTGGGGTGCTTTTTAAGATATTTTATTTACTTATTTATTTATAACTTTATGCACATTTGTATATTGGCGGACTTAATGCCCAAGGCACAGTAATCACTAAGATATACGCTATACAAACACAACACACGTAATTTTATACACAAGCAAATACACACTATACGCATATATTTACACATACATACACACACATATACATATATATTTTATAATATAATAACTTTACTTGTTACAATATCTGTCAATAAAATGTTTTGACAACAATTTAAAACTATCACCCCACGCATTAATACGATAACATGATTTTTCTTTTTGAAGTTCTAGAAAATTATTTTCTACTTTTTGTTCGACTACTTACAAAAGCGTGCTTTATAGTTTATTTTTAAACTATAATTTATTACAAATAGTAGCCTGAACGACATGCTATCAAAATAAATCTAGATCCACCAAAGTGTTACCGAGTTCTACCTTCTTAAATTTAATATATTACTCGTACACTATTGGGGGTAAAAGTGTTTCAAAAATATCAGAAACCGTGCCCAAGAAATTCCTTAGAAAAAAGACCCCATCTATGAACGCAATAGTCGATGGCTTCGTAAAGGACATTGACAAGGTAGACCAACAGCCAATAAGTGATGTAAAGAAAGCTTGGATTTAACTACTTAACATCACGTCTTAACTAAATTTAAAACTTAAATATGCATATTTTATTATTCAGTACAAATGAAAATGGTTGTTATTAATATGGCCTAAACGATTTCTTCTGATGCACTCTCGTGTCGAGTGGTCACCTTTACAACAACCAATATTAACTTATCCCCGTACGTAACAACACACAACAACACAACAACGTACATCACCTGAAAGAAATAAGTTACTTACCTTAAAACTTAACTAACTTGTTACTTAACATATAACAAGTGGAAACAGTAAAAAAGGTGATAAGTATAACTTATCCTATTTTTGTGATAACTATTCCTGGAAGGATGGCACCCTAGAGGAGTCATCTAAGTCCCTAGCGCTTGGCAGGCATATATGTATGTATCTATCAGCTCTATGGTCTCAAAGACAACCCAGCACTGGGAACAGAATCCAGGCTTCAACCATGTTTCTGATATGACCATATCAAAGAAAATAATATAATTAAATAGACCAGCTCATATTTATTTGAACTCAAACTCAAATACTTTTTACTGTGTTGCCTTTGTTACAGTGCACTTTCAACTGTCAGGAGTACAATTAATACTCAAATAAAAAAAAATACACACTAGAATAGCAAAGATGAAATTACCATGATGACTTGGTGAAAGGTTATAATATTGCAAGGCCTAATAAAGACCAGTCTACCGTCACACACAAAGACTTTATATGTCCTTGAAAGAATACTTACACAACTATAAACCAGAGAAAGAAAAATGATCTCCAAGACTAATGATCCAGAAAATTAATATAAAAGTATGTCTCACCCTGCAGTGCGAGTATCTGCCACATAGTGGCCTTGTCGGATTTTGCGACCCGGAATAAAGGTTATTTCCATAGAGCCCATGTCCGCACCTGTTAACTTAGCTCCACACATATCAGCCACAAGTTTTATACCTGTAACAATGATGATTATTGAATTTCATTGGTAATTGACGTATGTATGTTTTAAAGAAATAAATATAATGACAGTGGCAAGTCAATATATTTATGAAAATGTAATATATGTTCACAAAAATAAAGATAGCTTTTTGAAAAAAAGTGATGTACATGCCATAAATACCAGAAATAAAAATAAATTTGTTGTACCCGCCTCTAGGCTCCAAAAGATAAACAAGTCTTTTCGAGGTCAATGTGTCCGATTTTATAATAAAATCCCAAATAATATTCAGGAGTTGAGTATTAACAAATTTAAATCCGCAATAAAACGTGGCTTGTGCCAGAGGGCCTACTACTCGATTGTGGATTACATGGAGGACAAGAATGCTTGGGATTAATTAGCGCAGGCTATTTCTTTCTTAAGTAAAAATGTGGTGTGGCTAGTATGTTTTTTATTATTATTATTTTTTCTATTTTTTATGTTTCACTTCATTTTCTCTTGTATTCGTTTTTTCTTCTTAATCTTGTTTTCTCTTCGTTGTTTTTTCACCTTTAAGTCCTTAATAACGGACATACTAGCACACATCAAAACAATGTTGTGATATATTTAATAGTGCCATTGTATCTACTTGTGAATTGCAAAAGAGTGGCCATGAGTTTGTTTGCCCTTTCTTCTCATAAGGCTCAACCCCTTGGAAACGGGCGGTTGTAGATCGGCACAGGCATATCATAGATTTTGTATAGGTTTGATTTTTGTTAAATTTATTTAGTTACTATTTGACAAAACAGAGATTGTTGCTTTTGTGTGTGTTGATCTATGACTTGAGTCTACATGGAAGACGATTTCAAACAATTTTGGAAATTTTATGAAATAAAGAAAGTTTGAGTTTGAGTTTAAGTGATGTAAGCTGTCTATAGCCTTTAGTAGTCTACTGGCTGGACATAGGCCTCTCCTTAGAACTCCTTAGTTTTTTGAACCGCTTACACTGTGCGCACGTGGGCTTAAAATGTGGTGTGTCTTTATCTGGACAAGCTCGCGTTTCGTGTGCGGCGGCGCAATTAGCACAAGTAGGGGTTTTAATGGTGCAAAACTTTTGTACATGACTGAATTGCTGACAATTTAAGCAACGAACTACTTCTATATCGTCTATCTATGAATCTACATGTGGCCCAGTCTATATAAAGTTTATCTTTTGTGTTGGCTAGATGTTTCCGAACTGCTGCCTCTAATTCTAAGCCTATCCATTGACGCCCATTTTCTAGTTTACGGTGCCTAACAATTTTGCTTGACTTAATAAAATCGTTCTCACTTAATTTTAATTCGTCCTCGATATTCTGACGGTATAAGGCTGTTAGGAAGGCACGATCTCCCATAGAACCGGGTACGTCTTTTACAATTATACGGGGCCTACTGCCTTACCGTTTTTCTAATCGCAACCCTACCGATTTAATGGCGTCCACAGATTCCAGTTTCTTAAGCTGCCTTAGAGGTTTTTTTAACGCCTACAATTTAAAATCCCTCATCGCTCGGTTTAAGCTTAATGAGAGCTTGTTTCGTTGCTGACGAGGTCGCATAGTCCACTAAGCGTTCCGTAGTGGGGTAGGTACCGGGCACGAAGCAGATTTAGGTGGTAATTAAGGCTTAAGTTTGTACGCGTATGTTAAACTAGTTTGTTGAGTTGCGATACCCTCCATTTGTCGCTCAAAATTCGCTAACTTCGTTTCGTTGCTAGAGATTTTATTGCTAACAAGGATACGATACCGGTAATTCGTTTAGTAATCCATAATTGCCGTTTTATTACCTACATTCATCCGAGATTTATTTATTTATTTATTAGGGTTAACAACAGTCCTTAAAAATAAATATTACAGTTTAAATTTCTACAATCAGGTGAAACCAATTAATGTTAACCACGTATGCAATTTTGATTTTAATAAAAATTGCCCAGACTTTGTCACAGCAAAAATGTAAAAAAAATAAATTTGAAGCTAAAACATAAAATATTAAAACTAATAAATTAAATTACAACTAAAAGAACAGTGAGATAATATTCTAGGCAAGCAGTGTGCTGAACAGAGTGTGTGTGTGTGGTGCGTGTATGTGTGTGTGTTGTGCGTGTATGTGTGTGTGTGTGTGTTGTGCGTGTACATATGTGTGTGTGTGTATGTGCGCTACAATATACTACATAGCATTACATAGCTCTCAGAATAACCAAAAAAGCGAAACAACATCCCACCCAACGAGATCCACATTTAACCTAATCACACTTTAGCTTGAGTGCCCGCTAGCGTATTCGTTATCAGCGTCTTAAACCTACTTTTACTGTTCGAGAATAAATCTATGTCTTTAAATTCGGTGTTATAGGTTATTATAATTCTGGAGAGAACAGAGTTCTTGGCATAATTTGTAGAACGTAAGGGCGCAACCAAGAGCCTGGTATGTCTTGTTCGTGTTCGAGGTACACTAAAGTAGATATTTGCTAGCAATGCAGGACAATCAAGTCGATTTCGTACAATATCGTACAGAAAACATACATCTAGCATTCGCCGGCGCTCTTCCAACGTCAAAATCTTATGTCCGCGACAACTGTCCACGTAAGAGGAGTAGCGTTGCTGAGTTTTGAAGTTAAGATGCATAATGAATTTTTTTTGTATTGATTCTATACGATTAGTATATATACCATAACAAGGATTCCATATGGGACACGCATATTCTATTATGCTACGTACATATGCAAAGTAAACAACTTTAAGACTTAGTGAGCACTGAAATGGTTTGCATGTTCTTAATACAAACCCTAAGTTACGGTAAGCCCTTTGTACTACCTTTTCCACATGGTAAGATAAAAGCATCTGGGAATCGAAGAATACCCCAAGATCGCGCACTAGGTTGACCCTATCTATTACAATGTTGTTAAAATTGTATGGAAAGTTAATTGGTTGCCTTTTGCGAGTAAAACTGACAGTTTGACATTTACTAATACTAATAGAGATTCTGTTACGTGAATAATATTCTTGAAGTGCATTTAAATCCTGCTGGAGTCTTACGCAGTCATCAACCTTGTGTATGGGTGCATAGATTTTTTTATCGTCCGCGTACATTATGTGTTTGGCGAATTTAAAACAGTCAGAGATGTCATAAATATATGCATTATAAAAGAGGGGGCCAAGATGCGAGCCCTGAGGCACACCAGAAGGGATTGAGATGTAATCTGACCTATAACCACTCATCACGACATGCGAGCGATTCAGTAGATATGATCGGACCCACCGTAATAAGTCCCCATGTATACCTAGTTCCTGTAATTTTCGAAGCAATATGTCATGATCTACGCGATCAAAAGCCTTTTCAAAATCAGTGTAGATGACGTCCACCTGACCACCCCCATCCATGTTAGTTAATACGTAGTCGGAAAACAATGCTAAGTTGGTAACAGTGGAGCGTCCTTTAAGAAATCCGTGCTGGTAGTGGGGTATGCCTTGTGATAGTATTGGATAAATTTGTTTATAAATAAGTTTTTCAAAAATCTTACTAATCGTATTTAATATAGAGATTGGTCGGTAATTTTCAATAGATGAGCGTGACCCCTTTTTATGTATGGGGATAATTTGAGCGTTTTTCCATATTGATGGAAAAATACACTCTTGCAGGGATCTACGAAAAAGATAAGATAGTGGCAAAGCTAAGGATTTTGCACATGAAGATAAGAAAATCGGTGGAACACCATCGGAGCCTGCGCCTTTGTTTTTATCTAATGAGGATAACAATTTATATACTAAATCTTCATTTACTTCTATATGTGATAATATATCTTGGTTTTGATATATAATAGTAGATAAATCTGGGGTATTATTAGTAACGTTCATTGGACTTATAAAGACACTCTCAAAAAATGTATTGAACGCAGAACTAATTAAGTGCCCCTCAGTGTATTCTATATTGTTTAGTTTGAACTTCTTAGGATAGCTAGAGCAACCCTTTTTAGATTTTACATAGGTCCAAAAGTATTTTGGGTTACGCCGGATTATGTTTTGGCTATTTATTATAAATTGGTTAAAGCAAGTTTTTTGCACAAGTTGTACCCTAGAACGCAAGAGACGGAATTCATCATAATCGCGCGGGTTGCCCCTTTTTATCCATTTTTGATGCATTTTGTGTTTTTCCTTAATTATTCTTATTAATGCTGTGCTGTACCATATAGGATAATAGCATTTGGATTTTGGGTTATAAATTGGGACATACAACTTAAAGCAATCACTTAATGTTGAATAAAAAATATCGACAGCTTCATCAATTGTACCGACATCAAGTTTTTTTAGCCAGTCGATATTTGTAAGATATTCATTTATTTTTATGTAGTCACATTTATAAAAATTAAAACGCGGGTCATGACGTTCTTTGAGAGGTACAAGTTGAAGATCCAACAATTTAACGTAAAAAGGTGGGTGGGCGTCATCAACCCTGACAATAGGCTGCAAGCATTCGCTAATTGATAAAGGCAAGTTACAAAAACTTAAATCTAACGTGTTCCCCCATTTATTAGTTAAACAATTGTATTGTACTAATCCATAAAAGCTAAACTCATTCATTAATGAGGTGGCTGCATCAAGTGTTTGAGAAGAACTACTCCGATCATAATAATAATTGTTATTACACCACCTAACAAAAGGTAGGTTAAAATCACCAATTACCAAATAATTGTCACATGGATACTTAGCCATTAATTGTGATACATTACTTTGAAAACATAACACGCGATTAGGTAAGTCCAAGTCTGGCGGAATATAAGTTAAAATTATGTGCAAGTCAACCAACGAACCCAGCGAGCGCGCTGGTATAGTTATACAAATAGATTCGACGTTAGAAGCCGGCCATTCATTACATAAATAAGCATCTACTTCACGCTTGATAAGAATTAGCAGGCCGCCGCCGGATTTTTTATTAGTTGAAGTCAAATCCCGATCCGATCGGTAGACCTCATACCTACCATCACAAAACTCGCTGTCCAAAATATCATCTTGTAGCCAAGTTTCCGTTAACATTATTATATCATAGTCATTACTCAAAATGTTATTATAAAGGTCTAGGCACTTGGTCCGTAAGCCGCGTACGTTCTGATAATATATTTTATTATTTGTTGCCATTTTTTTTTTTAGTTAGTTTTTAAATATCCTATTACATTCGGTTAAAATATTAAATATATATACATAGATGCACTCAAATACATACATATTATACATACATACATATATTACATAGGTACATAAACACAATACCAAATACCGACATTTATCACTATTCATAATAATATTAAATATGAATGCCATGTCTATACAACTAAGTATATGAAAGCGTAAATAGGTACAATAAAAGTTAACAGAAAAAAAAAACATTATTGCAGTGGTTAAATTTAAAGTCTTAAGTATTATTAAGTGATAATGTGGGTTACGGACTGAGTGAGTTATAACAACATAATATTGCAGGTAAGTGTTTACGGCCGAGCGGGCTGCGAATGTGTTTGCGGTAATGAGAATTATTATTAGGTAAAAAGTAGTCAAGCGCACATATAGATATCGAGTGGGTATGGTGTATGAATCATTAGAAAACACTTGGTGACGATATGCGGTTATACTGTATTCGAAGAAATGCATGATTACGGATTGATATATAACTTTATGTAGTATAATGTAATAGTAAGTAATGTAAATATCTTTATTGTGGAGGTGTAATGTGTGGTATGTGAATGTGTTGACTGTATAATGAAAAATGGAGCAGAAATCACATGATGTTGATATGCAGTTCAGCTTATAATAGTGAGAAACCAGGACACAAATTAATAATAGTAGTCACTTAATTTTCGCTAGGTCGTCATAGTTGTTGATAGTGAATGACGGTGACGTGTTATTTTTTCGTACATGTATTTTGCAATTTCGTATCCATACATATTCGTAATTAGCGGCACGCTTGGCTTCTTTTGTTTTTCTAAGCAGGTCCTTATAAAATGATGTTAAATGTTCATTTATATAAATAGCCGATTCTTCGCCGTCGAAACAAATTTCACTGGTTGTTAATGATTTCTTTTTGCGCATCGCCGAGATTAGGCTATCTTTTGTGATAAGAGATTTGAATTTCACAATAATACTTTTGACTCTGCCTGTAACACGCGTTGGAACTCGGTGAATGTGAACAATTTCATCGTCTGGTATCTGTGTCTTGAGTGATGTAGCAATAGTTTGTAAATATTGCTACATCACTCAAGTTAATGATCCCTGATCATTAACTAATTCATTAATTTTTGCCAAATACTCGGTAGCCTGTGAGACTAACTCGCAGTAATTGTATTCCACACAGTTATCACGACCGTTAAGAGACGAAACATTTCCACTTAAATCCGAATTATTAATGCGTTTACTTCTATTGTCTTTAGGCGAGAAATCCGTAGGTGACATTTCGTTAAATGTCCTTTTCCCGGTTGGTGTTAGAAATTCACTTGTACCGCCGGAATCCGGCAACTCGCTAACGACCGACAAATAAAGATACACCAAACAACAATTTCAAAAAGAACAAGTTTAAAAATAAACAACACGCAAAGAAAAATCAATATAAACAAAGGATACCTCCTACCCACTTTTAGAAAGAAAATAAATTTACTCACTCATAGTGCTGAATTATTTTATTACGACTATTGAGTCGTAATAAAATAATTCAGCATTATATTTCTGTTTAAAAACAATAAAAACTTATTGATATTCTTTAAAACACTATACACAACCTTTAGCCGCCCGCAAACCGGGAACTAGTCGCAGAAAAACACAGAAAACAATATTTAAATTGTTAGCATATGAAGTCACACGTTAGTCGCACAGTGCCGTGAAGGGAAGTTCCGGGCAGGCGCTAGGAGGGGTCCGGATGTCTTAATAACAGCAGTTCCCGGATCCCTCCTATTACAGGCGCAGAGTCGCACACCGTGTGGTTTTAGTCGGTCCGATTCCGACACACCACCCCGCCGCAAACCCCGGTAGAGTGACGGCCCGTGGGGGGTTTCCACAGGTAAAAAAAAAAGGGTTTGTTTCGTGTCCTGTGTAGTTCGCTCCTTTCTTACAACACTCACAGGATGAATAGGGGTGGTGAGACGCACATTACAATTATTTAATGGTAAATAAAAAAGTCTCTTTCTAGAAGCAAAAAGAAGCAGTGTAAGAATAAATTTCTACATGAAAATATATACCACAAATTAAATATCACTGTAGAGTATGGTCCATCCAAAGATTGACTGTGAGAGATGAGAGACTGTGATAAATAACTACAAGTAAAGCCAGGCATGTAACAATATCTCGGGTAAAAAAAATTACATTTTACCATTTATTAAAAATTCCTAGAAAATATGAGTCAACTGGTTTTTTTACTGCAGGATTGTTAAAAAAAATGTATACAAACTATAACAGCAATGTCTTTTAAAAGTTGGCGCATGTTATCATGTTTCTGTCCACTGCTAGACATAGGCCTCTCCTTAGAAAGGAGGTTTTAGCCTACTATACCACGCTGGCCAGACAGGTTGGTACAGGGTTTGTTTCAAGTTTTTCTTCTCTTTGCAGTGCTGTTGTCCTGCATAATTAGCTCCCTTAGTCGGCTCTTACGACACCCACAGGATGTATAGGGGTGGTGACATTCGGTATTCTTAATCCGTCACCACACGGACTTGATGGTTTGTGGTATAATACTTCTGATATTTAAAAGCAGATTTGGGAAAAAAAACTATATTTTTACAATACTGGTGTATCATAGATGATAATTTTCATTTGAGATATTGTAACATTCCTGGTATTCCTCATAATTGTAATCGACAGAGGGACTATTAACATTACCGATAAAAAAAAGAAAATACCTATTCACTGCCTCTCGCCATCACAGCACTGAAAAAAGTAGTCCAAGGTGTGTTTTGAAATGAAATAAAAAAAAACGAGATTTTTGTAAAAAAATTACCAAAGGTAAGGCACTCCATCCCCTCACCGCTTGACGTTGAATTTTGGGGCATTCTGTATATCCATACATAGAATTTTACACATAAATATATTTACATCTAGCCATAAATATTTAGTAATCAACTTAGACATAGTAAAGTAATTAAACAATATAAGAAACTAGACCGCTTCGCTTAAGGATAGGCATCAGCACTGACATGTCGTAATATAAATAAAAGTTTGCACAATAATTACCAACAAGATGCTGTGCTGCAAGCCCAGGTTTACTCCGCTTCGCCCGTATATTGATTATACGAATTGGTACACACAATATAGCACTTAAAGAGATCGAGATACGTAATATTTGACCACCCTGCAAACAATATTATTAATTTTATTGCTAATTTCAACTAATACATTTACAAATTAGTATTACAATAATTAGTATCGCCATATTCACCCCTTCTAATATGCTTCCATCTATTTCTAAAAATTCAGACATTTTGACAGTCTTAAATAAACACTTCTTTTTATTATTTCTTAGCGTAAATTGCGCAAAAAATAGTCGAAAATCGTCACAAATATTACACCGGCCGAAATGTGAGTTGAAACGTCAGTTAGCTGTGTTTTAACTTTTGCTTCTGCACCACAGATATTGTGCACTATTGTGTAGTAACCGTCAAAAACTAAGCAAAGGCAAAGCAATATCGATTTAAAGGGATGAACCTTCGAAATATAAGTTGATTTAATTTAACGTAACAGTTTTTTTATTGATTTCAATAAAATAGTTATCCCAGAAGCTGTTATTATATAATTTACAAAAAGAATATATAAAAGAATCCGGGCTTAAATTTAAAGACCAAGTGATGTAAACGATAAACCGTCAACGGGCATATCAACCAACCCTTTGACCGTACTGCCTCTTCACAGATTATTCCTTAATAAAGTATGAAATAATAAAAACATTTATTATTAAATCAATACCTAATATCCCTCTTCATCATTCTGAAGAAGGAGTATAATTACTGTAATTCTATACGTTTAAGCAAATACTCAAAGACCGTACTTCATGTAAATGACCTCCATTAACCGTAATTTATCGCGTAAGGACTGTAGGAAAGAACGGAACGGAAATGAGTTCTTCCGCGCAAAATGTCAATACTTGTTTTGTTGGGGAGACCCTGGTGATTTGCTATAGAATAGCTTGGGAAGTCTATATACATGATATAGTTATTATTATGCGTTTAAAATATTTGCAAACACGAAGCTTGAAGAGAATTATATGATATTTTGATGAGTTTACACAGTCGGAAAGCGTACTTTTCTAAGAATGCAGAGGAAACCTGGATTCCCTGTTGCGAATTGCGGCATTAAGATGGTAAATACTTGTTTTTTTTTCTGTATCTTGAGATAGAACTACGCTATAAATCAGGTTATATGGAAAAAAATAAACAGTAAAATATATCTTGAGTAGTTCCGACAACAATATGGTGTTCAGGTTAGAGAAAGTAACCAATTATCTATCACTTTAAGTTAGAGATAAAAAAATATATAAAAGTATATAAAACTGAATGTATTTCATTGTTAATTAGGAAAGGATTCTTCCTATTCTAGTATTTTCCGTCAAGAATTTATAAATTTCTTTTGTACTATACTTTCAGCCCGAATGTTCAACAGTGCCAGAAACGGTGCCAACAAATCATGAGGATGATGCAGAGCATCGAAGGTTGCAGCTTATCAATTTTGGACACTCTCAATGGGGATTTAATAATTGGAGTTGGTCTGTTACCAAGCAAGAAGTTGGTAAGAGAAAGTTAATTAAATTGTACTCTATGCATTAATTTTAAAAATATAAAAGTAAGTAATAATAATACTTTCACACATTTCACGCACAGTACAATGGTGACTAGATTGCTGATAAACATACTCAGATGTTTCTAAATGCATTACATATTATAGATAAAGTACACCCAGAACCAGAACAAATGACCGTTCTCATCACACAATTATTTGTCCTGGGTGGGAATCGAATCCATAACCTCTGGCGTAGCAGTCAGGGTCACTGACCACTAGACCAACAGGCTAACCAAAATAAGTATGTTCGTTTAGAATTTAGTATTAGTTATATCTTGTAAGAACTTACCTTCAAGTATAAGAACAGGTTCATACTGATTAGACGTAAGAGTAGTCATATAAAGCTTTGGTTATACCATTATTTCCTATTCCGAAATAATTTAGACTCATCTATTAACTAAAAGGAAAATAATTTCATTTAACATGTGGGTCATAACATCGCCTTTATAGTAGGGGAATTCTGGATTTACTCGAGCGTGTCAGATTAACATAAGAGGAATATCTTACACCCAGTTGAGTACCTCCACCAAACATGAGCGTAGAGGGGGAATTGTCTAGGGCTGCCCATCATATTAGTTAAAAAAAAATTGTTGGCCAAAAATACTTGAGTGTGTAAGATTAAGGTAAGTTGAATGTGTAAGATTAAGGTAGATGCACATTAGTGAGTATTTAAAAAAAACTGACGATTTGAGCATAACATAAAGCAGTGGGAGGGTCACAAATTCAAAAAAAAACCACACATGACCTTGACATTTGAAGCAAACAATGGAAGAAATCTTTAAATATCTACATAATTTTTCGTACCTTTATTTGTCACATTTTATAAAAAAATAAAAATCAAAATATTTCGAACCGTCATATTTAAAATACCCGGCAAAACTATCGTCAGATTTTAGGCTAGTATGACAGGGTCATCAAGTTGAACAGCCTGTATAAAATCTAACACGCTCGGGTATTTCGAAATGACGATTTTTCGAATTTACAGTTTTTATTTTCGATAATTCGCTACCAGTTTGTGTCAGCTTAAAATCGTCAGACTTTTCAATAAGAGCATTTTTTGGCATCCAAATAACATATCCGCAAAATAACTGATGGGCCTGAATAATATTTTTTCGATTTCCTCCGGAGCTCCTTTAGAGGCATTAAGCCCAAACCGTGATCACTACACATCATGAGACCATCTGTAAGCCGTAATCTCTGAAGCATCCTTTCCCGGTGATTACCTGCGTTAGCCGGTATGAGGGGGTTCCGTGTTCCCCCTCGAGCCAATCCTCCATAACGGGTCTTACCGCCGTAATAATGGCGTTACCGATGCTTTTTTGCCCAAGTCTTTTTTTCTACTACTCCACTAGGACCTGGCGGAGTTGGGATTTTGCGGTCCTCGATTTCTCAAGTCTCAAGACTCCGACTTAACTCCCGTGACTCTTTGCGCCACTGATGCAGAGCTGCTGGGGCTGTCGCTTGTCGCTGTCCCACTGGTTAGAGTAACACGTCTGTTTTATCCAGCCATTAAACAGCGGTTTCATATTTCATTCGTACAACCATGTATACTCTGCACTATCGAAAGGTTTTTAGTACCATACGCACAGTCAAAACTTGGCTACGATCACCAATGACAGAAAACCAACTTGTTGGCCTCTGCATGATGAGAGTTCATAGGAAGAGGCTTCTAAAGGCACAAAATAAATTTATAATCGAAATTTTATACAGGTTTTACCGAAATCTTAGCAGGTTGAATTGAAATGATGTTAGAAATAAATAGTATATTAAATTCCAATAGTTTATCTAGTTTTCTTAATTTTGCCCACCCCTAAGTAAATGCTGGTTACGCCCATGCCCCGGACAGTACTGGTCCTAGCCACCGACCCCATGTCAGACCTAATTAGAGAGGTGTTCGAAGCTAGCTTAGCGTTCGGGCGTTTCCATGAGTGCTCAAAGAGCAGGAAGCTGGTCTCGTTAACGAAGCCTGGTCAGCCTACCAATTTGGTCGCGAACTACAGGACGAGGCGGGTAAATTATTTGAGAAGGTTCTTTCTGCCCGCATCGTCCGGCAGCTCTGCGAGGTGAGCCTCGATCTGTCAGACGTCCAGCGCTCATTGTCGAGCGAGTGGGGCGTTTGCCAATCAGCGCTGTGTTGCACCTCAGGATCGTGACCAAAGATCTCTGGCGGCGTTGGACATCGCCAACTCATTCAATAGCCTGCCATTCAGCTACGTCAGGGAGGCACTCACTATCACGGGGTGCCAGAGTACCTAGGGCGGCTAGTGGCAGACCATTTAGAGGATTGTGCCGTCATGTACGAGGACCAAGATGGATATCTGAGGTGCCTGCCCATTTCGTGCAGTGTTCCACAATGATCTGTTTTATGGAACCCTCCTGTGGAATATGGTGTATTGAGGCCTTCGAGGAGACTTCCCTCCCGGGTTTTGCGTAAATTGTTCCGCTGATGACACTTTGGTTACAGCCCGAGGGGCGAACTTTCAAGAGGCGGCGCGCCTGGCCACCAGGCGTATCTCTCTGGTGGTCGGACGTAATTTTTATTTTTAGAAAAACTTCTCCTGTGCTAGGAATACATCCTGTGTCATGGGGGACTTCACAAACATAATTATATGAAACGAACACAAAGAACACCAGACTCAGAACAACAATTTGTGAATCACAATTACACTGCAAACACACGTTTAACTGCTATGGGAATATTTTAACTATCCATATTCACAATTAAATTTTTCTGATGTTTAAGTATTTGATACACTGCACAGTACTAAAATATTGTTATCTTTGTTAAATTTTCGAGACTTTCTTCCGATTATATAATTTAAAAACACAATAATAATTTAAAAACAAACATTTACTACGACTAAGACAAAAAAAATGGTCCAAATGAGTGTCGCCATCCCTATTTATCCCATGGGTGTAATATAAGCCGGATCAGCAAGCTGAAGTGGCAGTGGGCTGGCCATATTAGCCGCAGAACCGACAACCGTTGGGGAAAACGAGTTCTTGAGTGGAGACCGCGTCTCAGCAAACGTAGGACGCCCACAGGCCAGGTGGAGTGACGATTTGCGTAAGATGGCTGGCAGGAGCTGGATGCGAGAAGCCCAAAATCGATCTAAGTGGCGTGCAATGGAAGAGGCCTATGTCCAGCAGTGGACTGCGATAGGCTGATGATGAAGGGAGCAAACTCTGCAAAGTAACGAAGGCACTGCACTGCAAGAGAAAGAAAACTTGAAACAAACCCTATACCAATCGGTCTGGCCAGCGTGGTATAGTAGGCCAAAACCTCATTTTTTAATGCGAGGCCTATGTCCAACAGCGGACTGTTATAGGCTTGTGATGTGTGCTGTGATTCAAAATTTTATAAAAAGAAAAACATTATTTTATATCTTTTTCTATCATCTATATCTATATCTTCTATACATCTCCTATACAAATAAATAAAATTGGAGTGTCTGTTTGTAATATTAAAAATAACCGCTTTTTACTAAATGCATATGTATGTTTACACGGTACATATGCCAAAATATAATAAATATAATAGTTTCTTCCGGGTAATCTCTGGAACGGCTGGACCGATTTCGACGGGACCGTCACTGGCAGATAGCTGATGACATAAGGAGTAACTTAGGCTACTTTTTTTAGACTAGCTTCTCCCCGCGGCGTTGCCCGCGGTTATAATAACAAACGCGGGTAACACCGCGGGTCTCAGCTAGTTAAAAATAAAATAAGTTGGATATAACCCTTTTTACTTAATTGAATCCAATGTAACAGTTCCAGTCTTATCTTTAATGCAGATTTCTGATCTGGTAACATTATTTTTCTATTCAGATTTCGTGGATTTCAACAATGGCAAGTACTGCGCAGGAGTCGCCGCCTTCGTTAATATCACTGTGAAAAAGTTCGACATTTACCGGGAGAACATTGGATATGCCACTACCGTCGCCAATTCTAAAGGATTTGCTGTCTACAAGTCCAGAAAGGTACAATTTATAGTAAATTACTACCTTTGAAATAATACTACACTTAAACCTCATACTAGTGATCAGGTTAGTATGATCTTTCTCTTGCTCCCTTACCTGCACCTGTGTTTTATGGATCGCTAGAAGCGGTCCAGATGTCCTAATAAAAGCTGTTCCTGGACGCCACCTATTTAAAGCGCAGAGTAGAACGTCGCGTAGTTATAGTCGGTTCGATTCCGACACAATAGTTGCCACACGTATTTTTTTTATTAAAAAATGGTCTAATAAGTATAAAAGGAAACAATATAATGCTTAGAAAGGAATATTCATTTACAAAGACAACGCATTCGTCGGTCGTTGAGCAAATTGATGAACTTTTCTTAGTCTTTAATAAAGGTATTAGGTAATTAATAAGTTTCTGTACAATCATTCCTAAAAAATTCAAATTCTCCTCATTCTTGAACGAGAAGTCTCTCCTCAAGAATGAGGATATTTTCTGTTATAAACTACACCAACTCACTTTTACATTGACAGTGCGCTGTAACTAATGCACTTCGCGAGACATTGCTAAGCTTCGGGGGCAGCGTGGCCACTGAACTCTTGGAACTGCTGGAGTCCCATCGCACAGAAGTCGGAGCGCCCGCTAACCAACCCGAGCCGCTTGCAGAGAACAATCAAAATGTAGCCAACAGACCTGCCGAGCCGAAGAACGCACCGCACAATCGTCCGCCGAGAAAGGATTCGGTGGACGTGCCGCCCCCCGCAGCCCTGAGGTCTCCCTTGGCACCCCCGCAGCCGCCGCCGCCCGCCGTGAAGAACGCTCCTGCCGCAAAGCCGTTGCCGCTCGGGCCGCCGCCTCCCTGCCCCCCCGTTCCGCCGGCCAACAGGCCCATGGCGGGAGCGACCCGGCCCGTACCCGCGCGCCCCAACTCCAACGTAAGTTTTGTGCTGCAGCCCGTAGTGGGCGGAGTCGTGCCGCCGCTGTACGGCGCGGGCCCCCGCCTGAGCGCCCCGCCGATGTCGCACGTGCTCCCGCCCACCTACTACGAGTACCCTGGGCCCTGGCACTTCGCCTACGAGAGCTACGAGCGCCCGCCAGGAAACGTCAATCTCAACTTCAATCTACCGCCGAAGAATTTGGTGGTGAACGGTCGCGGGGGAGTAGAGTGCCGCAACGCTTGCCGGCCCTCGGACGAGCTGCCGCCGCCGGCCCAGCCGTGCTGGATCAAGCCCACCATTTTCTACGACGGGTTTTGGACCGAGCAGAAGGTGAAAAAGTGGGTAGCGGAACAGGTGGAAAAGCAGTTTCCGGAGGAGTCGTCGCAACCGCCGGTCTCTCCTGCCGCATCCGCCCCCCACCAGCCCGCGCAGGATAACAAGGCCTGACTGCCACACCGCTTTGGTGGGCGTAAAATTTTAACACTTGTTTCAAGGCATCGCTATAAGGTCTCATAGTAGACATTATAGTGACAGATAATTATTTAACTGTGTAGATTGGTGACTCTTTGATGGCTGTAAATGTCATTGTTACAATTAGAAACCAAATTTTTATACGTAATGTTCGTGAATATGAGTGTTAAATGAACGAATAGCAAGCAATGTAAACTTATCTAATTTTACTAAGTGAGCCAGCAGGCTAAGCAGACCAAACTTTCTCACATTGACCTCAATCTGTAGCTGTGACGTTGTCTGTGAGTACGTAGGCTCATCGCAAACACAAGTCGACTCGAGGCACTAAACTAACGAACCATATTTATGTTTTGACTCCGCCTCGTCGTCACCACCTCGGAGCTTGCCTGGTATGTAACTCCACCTCAACTCTTGTCTCTTGGATCCTTCAACTCCGCCTCGACATATCAGTAAGCGAGCGCCTAGCTCTTACAAGTCGCAGTATTTCACTTTTATTACCGAGTTATTCTTATACACTTGTGGAATTTTTTTGCCACGTCGTACCATTACGTCGGTAGTTAAAAGAGGTAGTGAATGTACTATAGATATATTAGCTATTTAATATTAGTAAGTTTGAAATCTCAAAAATGGTAAACTATTTTTTATTAAATTTTTCGACGTTGTATTATCTTGTAAGTGTTAAAGGTTTAGCCGTGAGAGACACTCACTTTGGTGTCGTAGTTTTATAGCAGTAATGTTCTTTATTACTACTTAAATACTTTAGTATCTTCGATTCTAGACGCAATATCGTTCGTGGGGCATCGTCGTGATACTACGTCACAGGTCGACTTATGTCGCCTGTGGTATTGCCGGACTTATACGACCTTCAAACCTTTCAAATTCAAATTCAAATTATATATTTGCTATAAATGGGGTGGTACATGTTGTGGTATTAAAGGTTTAATATATTGCGAACAGGCCCATTTAGCCATAAAGATAGCATGCAAATTTAACATTATTATTATTATTAATTTAACATTATTATATATTATTATTATTATTATCATCATTATTCATCAGTGTTTGTGTATTGATTATAATTTCACTTTTATTAATTATACCTACTACTCTCCACCATTCAAAAAGTCTTTGACCGAATAAAATGTATTTGTAATTAACCAATCTTTCAGGGCTGGAATGAACTTATTTAATGGTAGTTCTTTAAATCGTTCTGGGATTTTATTGAAGATTTTAATGCACATCGCGTAACAATTTTTTTGAATTCTTTTCGACCTAGGTACCATGTCCAACACAAGTCTATTTGGATTTCTAATGTTGCTCCTTTTGGTGACATCCTTCGCTTGCTTAAATGTTCGAGGGTGCTGTCTTATGAATTTGCATACCTCGAGGATGTACAAGCACGGTAACGTGAGGATTTTTAGTTTTTTAAAATATGGCCTACAAGATACGTCCGGAGCGATATCACATATGGACCTAATGCACCGTTTTTGTGCTATAAAGGCCTTATCTATGTCTGTACCGTTACCCCATACCAACAACCCATACCTTAACACAGATTCGACATACGCAAGGTACGCTGTACATGCTGTCATTTGGCAAGATACTTTTGCCATTTTGTACAGAGCGAAAGAGAATCCATTTATCCTGTTTGCGACTTTGTCTATATGTTCCTTCCAGTTAAGTTTATCATTGATAACTATGCCAAGAAATGTCGTATTGTTAGCCATCGAGATGCTTAGTCCATTGTAATTTACATGTATGTTATCGTCATTTAAATTATTAAAATTAATTATATGCGTTTTTAATAAATTAATTTGTAAATTATTATAATTCAGCCAATTTATAATTGATGTCAAGGTATTATTGATGTCATTTTCGTGTTGTGCAATTGTCAGATTTTTATTTGTAGTTACTATTACTGACACATCATCAGCAAATAGTATAGTGTTATGGTGAGTAACTTCTGGCAAGTCGTTAATGTAGACCAGGAAGAGTAATGGGCCCAACACACTGCCCTGGGGAACTCCAAATTTATTTAAATCATAGTTGGATCTCCTTACTTCAATACAGTCTTTGGCGGTTAATTGTGTCACATCAACACATTGATATCTATCATCTAGGTATGTCTTTAGCCAATTCAAAGCAGGTCCCCTAACACCATAATGCTCAAGTTTCATCAGAAGCTGCACATGTGAAACAAAATCAAAAGCCTTAGACATATCAAGAAACATCACCGTTGTGTACATTTTTTCATTGACACTCTGAAGGATGTCGTTGACCAAAGAGAAAGCTGCATCTCTGGTAGATCTTCCTCTTTGAAAACCGAATTGGTTCCCCACAATAACACCGTTCATCTTGAAGAAAGATGTAAGTTTCTCATGCATAACTTTTTCAAATATTTTTGAAAACACTGGCAGTACTGTAACAGGGCGATAGTTACTCAGTGTCGTTTTGTCTCCTTTTTTGTGCAGAGGTTTTATAACTGAGTACTTAAGCTTTTGAGGGAAAGTCCCTGTCTCTAATGAAAGATTCACCAGAAATGTAAGCATAGGAGTTAGTTGATAGCTGCACATTTTTACAACTTTTGTACATATAGAATCGTAACCCTCAGATGTTGTATTAGAAAGAGACATAATTATTTTATGTATGAACGACTCGTCTACCGGTGACAAAAACATTGAGTTCTTTTGTTTGTGTTTAGTACATGTATTATGAATGTCGCTATTCAATGTATTAGTTGTTGATATGAAATACTGATTGAATTCATTAGCTATTTGTAATGGATCTGTAATTTTTTCACCTTTTTTGTGTATCTCAGTAATGTGATTGCCCTTATTTGCAGAGCTCGCATCACTCTTAATAACTGACCAGGTCGCCTTACATTTATTTTTACTATTGACAACATAATCTCTATTTGTTTTTCGTTTAGCTGTATTAATACATTTTTTTAACAGTTTGTCATACCTTAGATAAATATGTTTATCTTTTTTAGATTTAGTGAAATAATATTTATGCCGCAATTTTCTTTTATAACTACAACTTTTACGTAGTCCTTTTGTCATCCAATTATTTTTTTTTGATAACCATATTTTTACCTTAATAATCGGAAAAAAAAGTTGATACAATAAGCAAAAGTAATCATAGAATATGTTGAATGCTAGATTCAGATCAGTTTCATTGTAATATTTCAAATATTGAATACTAGGTAGATACTGACAAAACTTAGTAATATTTTCGATAGAGTAACACCTTTTAAAATTAAATACAAACTCGGGTATTTTATTTTTATACATTACAGGCCATGTGAGTATTTGTGCAGTGTTGTGATCAGATAACCATAAGGGCAGAAGTGACCCTTCTGCAATCCTAATGTTGCTAATAATTAAGTCAATGCACGATTTGCCTCTGGTGGGGTCAGAGATGTGAGATATTAAATTGTATTTTTTTAAAATGTCCATAAATTGTTTGGTAATGTCTTTCTGCAGGTCAAGAGTATTTATATTCAGATCCCCGGTTATTATAATACTACTTTTAACATAAATAGACAGGTATTTAAATAGCATAAGATTCAAGTTTTGCAAAAAATATTGAAGATGTCTGCTATTTTTTGAAGGAATTCTGTAAATGCATATTATTATTACGTTGTGTGTTTCCAACTTGATAGCGCAAAGTTCAAAATGAAAAGTCATCCGAAATTCATCAAAACAATTTAGCCTTTTGAATGGAACACCCCTTTTAATCAATATGCATGTACCTCCTCTTTTGTTTTGTCTACAATAACAAGACGCTAGTTCGTAGTTTGAGATGTTGATATTTTTTTCTGTACCGGTTTTGACAAAAGTTTCTGTTAAACATATTATGTCAGGACCAAACCTATCTTTAATGGTATCAAGGGTTATCTCGAATAATTCTTTTTTTTTTAAAATACCATGAATATTCTGATGAAGAAGAGTAAGGTTATTACACGAATTAGGGTCGAAAAAACTTTTCTCCATCGGATGGAGTGGGATGATTCGGTTGATTCACCATCGTGGTATTACACACACTTCTACCACCGTCAATAGAAATTTTTGCTTTATTCTCAAGGCTCTTCGGTCGAAAGTAGTAAGGTATAGTACCCTTTTTATTAAAATTAATACCCGTTACAGTTAAGTTCTTTTGGTTAGTTTTGTTGTTGCAGTTTAATTTGGATCTCATTATATATAATTTTATTTTTTTTGGCGATAAGTATTTCAATTTATATGCGTTATAATCAATACACAAGCTGACTTTCTTAGAAATATAATCAGCATAGTTATAATAATAATTGTTTTCAGCGTAATACTGGTCTAACACAGTACAATTTTTCAAATGACTAGTCCACAATTCACTAGTCCACTTTAAGAAAAGAACATACTATTACCTCAAAAGTCGGGAACAAACTTGTGATTTAGGCTCATCTATTCGTTTGCAAAAAAGTTAGTGTTCTTACCTCAGACTAAATCCAGTGTTTAAACATTCAATCGCTAATGAAGTAATGTTGTCCCGAATTATCACATTTCAACGTTCTATATTGAGTTCATTTTATATTGAATTGTTTAGGTTTGTGAAGGACCTTATCCCTAATTTTCGTATCAAGAGTCCCACAACGATAATATATGATGTGTGTTTCTTTTTTTTTCTAAAGAAATTAGTAATATGGGTGACGCATGTAGTATTCTAGTTAACTCCTCCATCTATTAGCTAGGAATGGATACGTTGTAGATAGCTACGTCGGTAGTGTACTGGATGGGATTGGAACCCGAAACCTTTCGATCGCAAGGCCTATAACCTAACCCATTACGCTATCGGCGCCGATTTTTACATGATAGGTAAGAATTGTGTGGTAATAGATTTGTGCGAACATATAGATGTTTAAGTAAACGGATTTGTGTGTTTATATTTGTGGATTATTCATCAATGGTGTGAAATACCTGAGGGTATTTTTAATATTTTCTTCTTATGATAAAGGTAGGAATTGGTGTGGCGATACCTATCTTATTTGATGCGAGGAATGCGTGACGTAGCAATAACGAATACTATTCGATTAACAATAATCGAATAGTGTATAATATTTAATGGCGGACTTATGTTTTGTCGTTTACTCCTAGTTTACGGTCATAAATCAGTTTCCAACTTACTTACACCTTCCAAAGTTTATGCTAATGAATTGTTTTTTTTTAATGATACAGATACGAATGTTTTGATTTTATATAAAAAAATCTGAGTCTATTTCCATCAGGCGTGTGACCTCAGCAATAGTGAAGATCAATTAATGACGTCACTATTTTCTTAATTCAAATGAATTAGGTACGAGTTAAAAGGAATTGCAAAATATACATAGATATATGTTTGTCCTTAGTGTTTGTCGGACAAAGGCGAGGTTTAAACGTAACGATGATTTACCTGTTTTTATTGAAATAAAATTGTTTGAAATTTAATCATGTTTAATTGATATTTATAATTAGTTTGACCTTTTTGGTTTTTAACCCCTACGCATAAACGACTAGGGAAAAAGGATTAACCGACTTTGTTTTTGTTTTTTTTTTTATTTTAAATGTGAATTAGTCAGGAGTGTTCTTAGCTATGTTTGATAAAAATGGGCCCAAGATGGCCGCCGCCACAAAATGGCGGCTTATATATTTTTTCAAATGAAAGGGCTTGCCTACTAGAATACTATACACTATGTCTAATTTCAAATACTAGATGTGGCGGGGTTTTTTGAAATTTTTATTAGATACCAGTTTTTTTTTATGATATTGTAGTACACTACGAGCCGACGGGTCACCTGATGGTAAGTGACTACCGCAGCCAATGGACATCTACAATTCAAGATTCAGAACCGCGTTGCCTCGTTTTGAGTAAACCCCCCACCCCGCTCTCCCCAGAAATAGAGGTAGTTCGGTTTGGGCTACAGTTACTTTATTCACTCGCTTAAATGTAGGAGAATCGAGTCCCAGTTAAATACTTCGAAAAAACTAACTATGATTGATTAATCAATGACGAACTATAATTCAGAGAAATGAATAGATCATTGTTAAACAGGAGGTGGCAAAGAGTGCAGCTGAGGTGAACGAGGAAGAGGCGAGAGCTGAGCGAAAACGACGACAGAGACTCGCACAGGAAGAGTTCAGACAGAAACAACTCATGAAACAAAACCCTGGTTAGCGCTCAATACTGCATTTATCATAATTACGATGTAATGGAACAGCCGTCAACTACTTCTAAAACAGCCAACTGTATCCCAACCTGTAAAACAACAGAACGTGTAGTGGACAGACGACTGTTTGCCGCATATCTATTGTTTAAGAAAGCATAAAATTATCGAAATTACTTTCAGTAATTATACGGAAGAACCAGTTAAATATTTCCAATTTTCTAGAATCGTCTTTCGTAATCTGTAAGTAGGTAGGAATGTCCAAAAGGTCAGAAGCGTCGACTTGAAAATTATAAAATTACTATAGGCTTTAGTGGGTAAGATTGGGTAACAAACTTACTAAGAAAACATAACCATATGAACTACTTCTCATAAATTAATAAGGGCTATTAAATTTACTATAACAATACTATATACACTACACCTATTTGTTAATTAAATACATTTTTTATTAATTTTTATATATTTTATTTCTTCTTTTTTAATTCACCTTTTATTGTTATTCTCACACCCGTTTTCAAATTAAAATTGAACTTTATTTTTTCTTTTTAAAAACGAATTCAAACTTTTCTTAACTGTGATGTAAAAATCAACGGTGGACGTCCGTAGGTAGGCACCACTCTGGACATGTCGACGATATTAACCTCAAACCATTCTATAAATGCGCATACCTTCCCTACTAACCCGAGATGAACAATACTAAAAGTGCCTATTAGTTATTAATATGGCAAAAGCATAGCTTTTGGGAATTGTGCCGAAGCATAGCTCTCCCACGTAAAATTTTGGCTCTCCGTAAAGTTTATTTAAAACAACGAGGATGCCCAACTAGTTTCGTACCCGAAGAGCTGTTTTCAAGAGCGAAAGCTACCTTCTTTGTCCTGAATCTGGTGACCGGAATGTGTGACCTCCTGCCGCCTTAAGTGTCCAGCCGTAATAATACGGATTTTTCTTTCACGACTTTAGTGACACGCCGCAAGGAGTTCCGTTTGTGTACGTCACCCTACTTAGTGCCATCAGAATGCTTAAAAACTTTACATTTGTAACAACTATACTACCAAGGATATCATTAAGAGCAATTGTAGGCTAAAAAGACTAGATAAGAGGATAAAAAGCTCCCTTAACAGAATACACAGATAGGTAGTCTACATTTCTCTGAAGTATATTCATCATCCAGTATATACATCTTTAGTAGTCCACTGCTGGACAACTGGACTAAGATCTCTCCTTAGAAAGGAGGTTTTGGTCTACTACACCACGATGGCCACACCGGTTGGTATAGGATTTGTGTCAAGTTTACCTTCTCTTTGCAGTGCTGTTGTCTTGCGTAGTTTGCTCCCTTAATCGGCTCTTACGACACCCACGGGCTTAATACGGCTGGTGACACTCCGTATTCTTAATCCGTCATCACACGGACATTATATTAGTTACGTAGTAAGTTACCTGCGTTACGTCGTAATACGATATTAGAGTTGCCAACCAACTACTGTCAACAGTTCTAGCTTAAAGCGTTACCCATTTAGACTATCTCAGGACCGATCTTAAATATTGATCACTGACGTTATGTTCTAGCAAGATCAAAGAATAATCAGTGTTTAATAATATTAACAGCCAAACGCGTGAATACTAAATACTGACAGACTACATGATACGGTAAAAATTTAGTGATTAGACGCGCTTATATCGTTTTGTTTTTATAAGCATCATGGCAACAGCATATGATACTGTGGAAAAAAAATCAAGAACAGTAGGTAAACAGGTTGTTTCTTTATGGAACCTTATGAGAAGACCCTACATCGAGGATGAAGTGACAAATTGAGGATCGACATGAAGAGCGTTGAAACGATATGGTCAGTAATATCGTCCTACGTTATGAAATACGAGCATTTCATGACAACGTTATCGTACCGTAACGTAACGTATATAACGACAATATATTATAATATTTTTTGATTTGAACAACTTCTGCCTTATTATTCCCAGTTATTTTGGTTTATTCCCAGTAGTTCCAAGGAGTCAGTTCCACATGCAACTTTTGCAACCAACTAGTTCCATACATGGAACTAGTGGGAATAGCTAAACGGAAAATCATACCCAGTCATTTGCAACCTGGTTTGTTATTTTTTTAGACACTCGCTATGTTTCGTTCGCGTGATTATTTCTTCTTTCGTGTTTCTTATTTTCAATCATATATTGAGGACAAGAGAACGATGTAAGCCTTTATCACCAGATAACACAAAAACTTATAATTTTACTACTTTCCTACCTACCTGTTTTGAGTACGATATTATAAAATTCCCGAAACCCGTATCTTATCGTCATCACTTTTAGAAGAATATTTTAATCTAGATTATAGTAATACCGTAGTATTTTTTCCATGGAACAACATCACCTCTTTATAGTTTTTTTATATGAATAAAATAAATAGTCATTAATTGTTTTTCAGAAAAAAAAAACAATTAATGATAGCTGTAAAAGTATTATAAAATTACATGCAACAAATGGGACGAAATCGTATTTTTAATGTTACATCAGTACCATGTGGAACTGTCTCCATGGAATTGCTTGGAATAAATCGTTAATATTTTTAATCATATTGCCTCTAGATGATGACCACGAGCTGAGTAAAAATAGTAGCAGTTTCGACAAGTTACTGATGGACATCCCGACCCAGGATATAGTGATCGAGGCGACGGGCGAAGACTCCACGAAACGGAAGTCTCCCGGAGGGGACGGCAGCGTCGCCAAGCGCCGCACTGGCTCCGTCAGCAAACTTGACATTATGAAGAATGAATAATATATTTTTAAATGCCAATAATTTTTGTATTAAAAAAGTGATTCTTAGTGTGCAGGCCATATTATTACTTCAATGTAAAGACCATTTTAAGCATTTATCAGCATTAAAATGTATAAAAATCAACTCATATTAATTATTACTGTTTCAAAATTTGTCCACACTATTCTTTAATATCATAACACAGCATGATGCACTTTCGAGACAGTTACAGTATATTTAATATTAATGATTAATACCAGTACCTACTAGTTTGATTGGTTATGTGTAAGTGCTTAGCAGTGATCGGTAAAGCAAAACTTATCAACTTAATTGGAGTCAAATTAAAAAATAAGTTGTGTTCTGAAATATAACCCAGCATACACTGGTGCTCATGACGTCACAAATTGACGCCATATTGAGTGTTTAGTTTAAAAGTGTTTGTGCTCATTTACAACAATTTTGCTCCAAATGTTATAAAAGTTTCTATATGAGTAAATTTCGATTATCATCTATTTCCTAGGGATGGAGATGCCAGCAGTTGTGACAATATGTCGTGTTGTTGTTGAAACACAATTTGACTCATCTGAGTGATTCTGATGATGATGAGATGCTGCTTGTCACACTGGCACGTCACACTTGTCTCACCAGTACAATATGGCGTCGGATAGATGACGTCATGAACACTGGCCAGTATACTGAGTTATATTTCGGAACACACAAAAGAACTCATGTACATTTCTTTGTATTTAGAACATATGAGTATTTTAGGCTGATATAGAATTCGATAATAAAACCAACATTATTTTATGAATTTTATTTTATTCACTAACAGATTACGCATCTTACACAGGAGTATTTACACGAACGAAAAATACTAAGTTGTAAGTTATTGTACTCAGGTAAATTAAGAAACGAAAACGACACCCTACTTATAATTAAGAGTTAAACGAAAGTCACCTTAAAACAAACATCTTAAATCTAATTTAATATTGACTGCTTAGCAAAGAACATTCTATAAGCCGAGTGATGAACAAGCGTGCACAAAAGCAGTCAACTTAAAATGATACACCGACGATTACATTTCTATAAATAATATAACCTCATGGTGTGCCATCTTAAATTCATATACATAATATACATATATGAACTCAGTTGCCTTGAAATAATTTGTTAGGTAGTCATCGCCAGCCTTAAAACGTTTTTTTATTAGTTTAATAGACATATTGAATCATTATATATATCGAAACATTATTTGTAATGCTACTAGATCTAATATGTCAATTAAACAATATATAGAAAATGCCTAAAAAAAAGATAATCCGTTCACACAGCAACACCTCGAATTCACAACCCATAAATAGAAAAGAAAAGGTTTATATTGCGTAGAACTTCGTTACATTTGTTATATGAATATTATAAAATGTAGGTATATTCTAATATAATTATAAATATATTTTTAATGTATGTCGAGTCCAAGTCACAGAATTGACCACCTGATATCCTGATGTGACTACCACCACTAACTACTTAACGATATGGTAAACCACTAGTCCATACGGGTTAAAAATAGTAATGCACGATGCCGCCCTGTGACCAATCAGGTTTCATGAAATTATCGTTTCGTACGAAAGCTTGGAACCTGATTGGTCAGAGTGCGGGGCTTGATAGATGCGTCACTATTTTCTTAACGCGAATGGATAGTCAATTTATCATATCTTAAAATAGTTATTACAATTTCAAACATATATGAAGTAATCAATTCTATCTGGCTACGTCATATATATATATATATATATATATATATAAGCATACTTAAGTATTTAGGTCCTGCTTTTAAAGAATTACAAAACTTGTACCATCCTAAAAGGTCATTCGCAGGATCTGTCGCATGTTTTATATGCGCATATTAGTGCTATCACACGTCAGTCGGTAAACTCGTAAAGCTCGCAACCAACCTGTTTCAAAGTTGTATAACATAAATTGTTTCATCAAAACATGCAATATCAATGTAATCGTTAATTAAATCATTTTATTGCCGCGTTTTAACGGTACTTCTTTATCCCTATGATGGGAAACCTACTAGTTACTACAATTACAAAGTTCTCCAATAGAATGCTTCTAATTAGATAGTAGATATCTACTGTCAAATGTTAGTAAGTTGCTTGGAGAGGAGGAACCACAATTAAAACAAAACAAATACTGGGTAGTGTGCTGCAAATACCCGTTTGTTTTATATTATAAACGGAGCATGGCCGTTACCTGATGGAAAGCGACTACCGCACCCCATGAACGCTTGCAACTCAGGAGTCACAAGCGCGTGAATTCTTTTAATTTGTTGTCACTATACACGTTCATAAATTGCTAGAAAGACCACCAGAAGGCTTTACATCTCTATGAAGTAGAAAATACTAGATGCCATTTTATTTAATTCAAATATTTTGTTGTATTAGGTATTTATAGAAAAAAGTAAGTAGCTAAGTTATGCTAATGATAGGTATAACTACTACAACGCGATTGCAAATATACACTTAATTCATAAACTTATATTCAATTGTGTGACGTCACAAATACAATTTATGACGTGGCTGTTAGAAGTAGAGGTAGTTATCACTAAACAGTACAAATTTTAAAGCTTTGTATAGTTTTATTTATTGAACAACTATGTCAGAACATCAGCTCTGACATAAAAATTTTCATTTACCTTGAAATTTTCTTAACAGATATACACCATTCATATGTTTAGTATATTATATATTGCTCATCTAATATGACGTCACTATAGTCTTATAATAAATAGATTGAAAAGAAATACGCCAATACAATAATAGGAAGTGCCGTGTAATAATCGCGAGTCTTACAATTTTGCTGGCATCTGCAACATCGCCAATACATGATTGGAGTGAAGGATCACTTTGCCCAATGACGTTTATTTGACATTGCATAGGTAAGTGTGGGTGGGACGTAGTGGACCCCCTGCCGACATCTTGTGTTAGTGTGCGTAGACTGTTTGCATGGAATACAAATACAGCTATCACTTTTGTGCGATACATACGGGGAATTACCTTAACCTTTGACAGCAAATTGGATAAAACGTTTAATTTTTCGGCAGAAAATTCCAACGATTTTCGACAGAATGATGGACTGAATTCAGTATTTGTTACGACGTCCCTTACACCCTGTATAAAAATGCCTGTTAATATTACAAATGTGAAAGTTACTCTGTCTGTATGATAGGGTTTCACGGCTAAACCGCTGATACGATTTTAATGTTGTTGGGTATGGAGATACTTTGATTCTTGAGGAAGGCCAGAGGCTACTTTTTACCGCGATATCGGACACTTTGAGACTACTGAAGTTAAGAGTCTATGCCAACTAATAACAAGACTCATCTATTTATAATAACTTTATAGATAACGCCCTTAAGAATTATCAAGGTAATATGATTAACTCTAAGGGATAAACTTGCCTCACTGGAACTAACATTTACATCTAAAAGCTACAATTAAAAAATACAGGGTGTAAATAAATCATATATATACAAAGACTCATGTTTATATATAGATACGTTATTAAACTCTATTAATTATTATTATAATTTATATTTCTTTGACAAGTTATTTAGGACATCAGTAACACAGCCTCGGTAGTGCAGTGTAGCGTATGCGACTGCTGTGCTGAGGTCTCGGGTACGATTCCCGGGTCGGATCAAATGTTTGTATGACCTGTAAATATATGTTTCGGAGTTTGGGTGTATAATAAAAAAAAAGTATATAAATATTATATCAGTCAATCTAGTTTTCATAGTACAAGCTCTGCTTAATTTGAAACTAGATGGCGTTGTGTGTCAGATGTCCGAAATATTATTATTATTAACACATGTTCTAGTGAACCACACAGGATCCACTAATACTACTAAACTATTTTGCTCATTTGTGTCAGTTGTAAGCAATTCTCTCGTGGCTCTTCACCGAGTGGCACACGTCACAAGAAAAAATTTACAAATATTTCGATGATGGTCCCTACGTGCGATATATCAAAAGACGTGGTTTTTTAAATTATCGAACTGGTTTATAGTTAAACAAGTCCGAGGGTTCCGTAAGTGAACAAACTTGTATGTAGATAAATCTTCTACCTTAAGAAACGATTGTTTTTTTTTTCATTTACTAAATTGAATTAGTTTGTTTATCAGATGGTTTCTATACTAACTCTAAAAGAGATAGTACACACACGACAAAAGTACCTATGATTTTAATAAATTATTACTGGAGAAATTGAACTAGTTACGCAGAATGGATTCGACTTTTCACTTATACAGTTGCAAATTTATGTGGTTTCAAAACCATTCTGTTATTGATTAAAACTTGTCTAGTAATAGTTCATTAAATCGTAGGTACATAGTAAGTAGTGTTCTGGTTTTTTGTTTACCGACTATGTTTGAGAATTCACATTTGTAGGGACCATCAATTCATTTGGTCGCCATTTGGTCGTATCTTGTATTTATCCATTTGTTCATAAGGTTTACCGCAACAAAAACACATGGAAAATACCTAGATACATATTTTTACAAGACTTTAGCACAGCTAGGAACGGTATATGCTGATAAAATGTATATATTAGTTAGAGATAGAGGTTAACCAGTCTTTCTAATATATATGAGGTTATAATAAAACTATTATATTAGTTACTGACATACATGAGATATATTTTTAATAAAAAATGCCCGGTTTCTGAGATACCGTTTGGTGAATTTATGTATGCGTTAGCGAACTTGTAAATATGCGTTACCGAACACCGTAACAAAAGACAAACTGCGTTTAAAGTTAAGATAACTGAAAAATGTGGCGTTTATCGGTTCTGTAACTGAAACCAAACCATTTGTTTCAATATGAACATAACATATACAGCCTGGGAGAGTCATGCTTCAAGACACGGGCCGACCCGACCGGAGTGCCAGCATAGCCTCACAGAAAACCAGTTGCTTCACTGAATGAGTGAGATGACTGGATACTCATCCTTCTTAAGGGCAGCACTTAAAGCGGCAACGAAGTAAAGACTTTTTTTTTTATGTTACAGGGGGCAAACGAGCAGACGGGTCACCTAGTGGAAAGTCACTACTGCCGCCCATAATCGCCTACAAGTCACAAGCGCGTTGCCAGCTTTCGAGGAAAGAGTACGTATTTTCTTTTTTTGAGAATTGACTTTTGTGTTGTAGGTATCCATTGGCGGCGGTAGTCATTTACCGTTAAAAATACTTTTTTGCCACCTATAATATAAAACATATTATGTTCTCACAAAAATCAAGTAAAGCACAAAATAAATAAAAAAGAAAGTTCGCGCTCAATAAGTGACAAAATAATATCAGATAAACTTTTTAATCTTTCCTCTGTGTCTGGTTATTATTAATTACGTACATAGATTTCTGTTTTTGCGTAGTTTGAGAATTTGTATTTTTGTTTTGTATTTTGGATGCGAGAAGCCGAAAATTGGTCGAAGTGGCGTGCAATGGGCGAGGCCGATGTCCAGCAGTGGGCTGCGATAGTCTGATGATGTAGCTTGATCACTCTAAGTTTAATGAGAAAATAAATTTCTGAACGCACCCATAAATATTTGACACCCAACAAATATGTTGATTCTTTCTCATAGTGATGTTATTTATTTGCATTTTTTAAATTTAAATACACGATAAGTCAAAGACTGTGTATATGTTGTCGATACGAATCCATGATGTTATTTAATTTGAAGAGATCTGAGTTGATCGAGTACCGGCATCACTATTTAAAATTTCCTTGGGCTGCCAAACATAGCCAGGGCAGTTCAGCCATTCTAGAGTTATAGTAAGACTAACAAACAGCAATTCATTTTTATATAAAAGACGATAATCCTAAAATAAGTAAATTTGTAATGAAAAAAGTCCTCATTTAACTCGCGCCATAACTCTCAGTCTTCCACCTGTCACATCCAATCTATGACTAGATATAAACAAAATTAAATATAAAGTCTCAAACTTGAACAGATCCATCTAGCGGTGTCTTTTGCAAACTACTTATTGCTCTGTTGGTCCGTTACGTTCTTAAGAACACAGACAGTTAACTTACTAAAATACCTTAAAGCAATATTTAACTGAGAACTTCAGAAACCGGGCATAGATAATTCTTATGTTATTAATAAAAGAACGTAATTTGTACAGGGCGTCACTCCTCTCGCGACGAAATTAAATTAATCATATAGTATAGGTGTTTAAAATGTGTGCACATGAAACGAGACCACGCCCACCATGCAGGTGTCAGGACTCCACAATTGCTCATTTTAAACTGAGTTTAAAAAAAAAAAGGCTCATTAAACCATTAATACGTCTAAAACTATTATTATAATACACAGTATTTTTTTATAATTAATTTCATACAAATAGTTTTTTTAGCTTTCGCTAATTTAATAAAGTTTAGTGAAGCAGATATTTTCTAAGATATGGATATTTCTAATTAGTGTAATCCCTCTAAACTAATCTTGTGTTGGCCAAGACATCCCACAGATATCTCTTTTAAACGCTTGTGTGTAACATGCACAAATTATAAAACGATGAACGAACACATTGCGTCCATTTTCATAAATTAAACATTTGTAAACAAGATTTAAGTTTAAACTTAATAAAAAAGATTCATTTTACTTTATCAAGCAAGAAAAATTAAAAAAGCAATCGTGCCTGCTTGTCACCATAAATTATTTTTAAGTTTCTGAACTTGTATATTGCCGCAGGGGTATTTTATCATTGTTGAAGCCGCAACCGTATTTAGGGCTTTCTTATTCACTATAGTCACACAATTATTATAGTGAATAAATAAGCCCTTGTATAATCAAAAACAGCAACCCCTGCCAAAGAAAAGCAATTCAACGTTTATCTGTTAAATTCAATTTGATCTTTATTTGTGCATCGCAAGGGTTTATATTTGTTTAATAGCTAGATTTTGTTCTGGTTTTTACCCCATCGACGGTACATTTAATAACAATAAAAAAGTAACCGATTTTCGAGCAATCTGTATGCATGGCAGATGGCTGTAGTCACGAGACGAAAGTATAAGGGAATTACATATTAGTAAATCTACCCATTATACATTTTTTAATTCTATCAGAAAGAAATAACGTACTATGTGCACTACATGATACAATCACTAAAGACGTTTTACTTTTGAGAGAGATGCAACAATGCTTCTGGAGCAATTTAATAATAATAATAACTTTACACTGGTCAATGTAACGTCAAACTTCTGTTTTATGCTGAATGATGACTGTTAAAAAACATTCAAAAATGAACTTTATTGTTTTGTAGTTTTAAGATTCCACATACCCACATAATATTGCCAATAACGGTGACATTGACAACTCGTTAAAGTTACCAGATAGATGGCAGTTCCTAAAGATGGTACTGAAACACTGAACTGTCAATAATTCAAGACCTGATTGTCGCCACATTATTATAGAGTTAATTTGGGACCGGCCCAAAGTGTAACATCTACAGAAGAACATTATTACTCCAATAGTCAGTGAACACGTTAAAATTATTAAACGTTATTTACACCTGAATAGAAGTACATTGCGGGCTTATTACAACCAGATAACCTGAAGCGGTGTCCACACTCATAGTAAAGAGACAACATATTCCTGTTTCATAATTATAATCAAAAAAGTGTTTTGCTTATTGTATTCAGAAATTAATTCAAGATAAACAAACAAATAATATTCGAACTCGCTACTTATACAATATAAATAGCCAGCTCATCAAACAGTTGTATGAAAGTACCTTCGGCGTGCGAAGAACTCTATCAGACGCTTCCTACATGACTTAATTATTAAAAGTGTCTATTCATAGGAGAGTATTAATAGAGGCCCTATGTTTGCGCACAGTACGACGATACGGGATAGAATACCTACACGATACACAAGAGTGGCTAACTCTACCGCTAGTGGAAGGACGCAAGGGGCCGTGTGATGGACATCTGGAAACAAACAGATATATATTAGATATAGGCTTCTTTTCTTTACAAACTGTTTTGTAATTGTATTCGAAAATAAGTTGCTTGATACTAATTATTATTTTGGTGAAAGAAAAAGTAATATTCCTTTAGTTTTTAAGAATATTTTGTTATGAAAAAGTTAAAGATACCGAAATATGATTACAGAGTTGTATATTTTTTTAAATGTAATATTTATTGTTGAAGTTATTGGCAACATCGACCATGGCATTTTAGTAATCGAGTAGTCGCTCTAAATTTTCGCCAAAAATATTGTATAGTAGGTTTTCGAAGTAAACCCGCCATATCTTAAAAAATGTATAGTTTAAAGCATGACAGAATAAGAATTTAGTATCGTTACCGTTGATTACATATCTAAAAACAGCTATAGGTAGGAGGTCAGGTCGATAGATGGTATGTAGTAAAGAGTGCGGTGTACCTGTCACTAGACGGGCACCTCCTCGGCCTCCTTCTCGCGCTGGCGCACGGCCACGGCCGTCTCCACGAGCAGGTACAGGCACTTGAACTTGTCGCGCTCGCCCTCGCCGCCCGACGCGTGCGGCACCACCTGCGGACAAGCCTCCATCATTACTCTCTCCCTTGCAAGATGGTTTGGGAATTTTTATACCCTTTCATTGTTTTTCACTGAGTGAGTGAGGTTACCGGAGCCCAAATCCCCCCTCCCGCTGACTCGAGCGGGAGGGACTCCAAGGGCGGTAACGCACTTGCGACTTTTAAGTTGCAGGTGTCTATTGGCGGCGGTAGTTGCTTACCATCAGGTGACCCGTCTGCTAGTTTGCCCTCTTATGCCAAAAAAAATTATATTGTATAAATTGGTCCGCATCCAACTTCCAGACAGTGACTAGAATTTCCGATTTATTGATCCCTAAAGTAAACTTTATCATGAATTTGGAGGTTCGTACACTGCTCATTTTTGTAGTTTCAGTAAGCATTAAAAAGGTTTACCAACGTAATAGTGTCATCATGATCATTTCCCTGCCTTTTAGCAAAATTTTTAGGACCGGCCAAATGTGGGCTCTTCTTTGATAGCAAACCACCTGCCTGACTTCCTGTTTTCAAAAGGGACAAAAGAAAAAGAATAGGGCGAGGGGTTGGTAACCCTTATGTAAAACATATTATTGGAGAAACCGCGAGGACTTGATATTCGACTGGCCATTTTACTCCTCCAATTTTCTTCTGATTAATTTCGTTGCGGGTTCCAAAACAGTTTAATTTCTTCCTGGGACTTCCCTGGTGATTTTTTCAGTGGTGGGCGTGTGGGTGGGATTACTCCCAATAAAAAAAAATAGCCATTACCTAATTACAACTTAGGTACTATACATGTTCTAGGTACTATAAAGTTCGTAAAGATTTAAAAACCCTTAACTATGTGGCTACAGAAAATCTTCTTAGAGCATCCGTTCTGTAATAAAATGTCCAATCATATATTTACGTCCACACACACACACACATATACACACCCATGAACCCTCAATCGTATAGCAGAATTTTATTATAGTAGGTATATACAGTATACCTATAGTATCCCTTAAAAAAATAGTGGGCATTGAAGTAATTACTTAAACAGCTATACCGCTACAATATAATATACCAGCTGTTTACGTCAACAGTTTTCTTATATTTCGGAAACATATCTTTCCAGGTTTGGACTAGAAAGTTAACCAAAAAATAATCCTGTATCTTTTTTTTGTATCCTCGATAAACTGTTTATCCATTAGTAGTAGTTGTAATGCAACTGTTAGTATGTGAGGTGTCAAGAATGAGGTCCGGTGCTCACCTGCAGCCTGCGACGCAACGGATGTGGCAGTTGAGGCAGGTGTGCGAGCTGCGGGTGCCAGCCTCCTGTACCGCTCCCTCCTCCTGAACTACTTCCCGTCCCCGCAGCGGCCTCCGTAGCTCCACTCGCCCCCGCCGTACCTTCCTCTGACTCCGAAGTACGGACTGTCACAACGTTTGCTGTTCTACTGCACAGGTGAAGAAAAGAACATTATAATTAATAATCGGCACCATTTTCAATTCTAATACGGGGTGAGAACGTTCAAGTTTGGAAGTCTTAGTGCCGCAACTGCTTCGATAGTCCAAATATTCTGGTCGGGAGTTACTTACCCCCGAGCCGCGGGATGCAGCTCCCTATCCTCGGGCCCGTACCTAATGACAGACTGCCACACGGTGGGGTCGTACTTCACTTCTTCCTCCGAGACAGCGCTCGACGAGTAGCCCTCCTCACCGTCGCCGATGTCGTCACCGTCGCTCCGATACACTAACAGACCGTCGCTGTAGTCTTGTTCTCCGCTGCGGTCAGCATCGTTCTAACAATGAAAAAGTGTAAAATATTTAATAAGATTTGTTAGAGAACCTTTTTATAATTTAGTATCGTGATATCCACTAAGATGACAATGACGCACACGTAAGCAAATTACGGCACGGAAGGCGTAGTGTTTTAAGTGGTCGCCACGCTGCTCACTACTACGCTGTGTTGTGGGTCCGATCCCAACATGGGACGACACTTTGTGTAATCCACAAATTGTTGTTCTGAGTTATTTGTGTCCGTTTCATGTATGTTTGTAAAGTCCCCCGCGACACAGGATATATTCATAATGCGGGAGTTGTCTTTTTTGAAAAAAAAAAAAGATTTGGACGTAAATCTAGATTTGGTAATGAGTAGTTAACAAGTACAACGGTACCTCGACTTCGACGCCTTCCCAGGAGGCGACGACGACGCCGGCGTTTGCGCTGGAGGAGGTTCCGGGTTGCTTGCGGCCGCGCCGCGAGATCGTGTAGTGGAGTGGGTCGTGCCCCTCGCGTCGGATCATCTCCGGCAAGATGCGCCGGCGGGCGTTGATGAACCAGTTGCATACCTAAAGATACATTCACTTATCTGTTGTGTACTTCAGTTTCATTAACGAGCTGAAGATACCTCTTCAGCTGTACTTAGAAACAGTCGCAACAACAGTCATCTTATATATAAAATTCTCGTGCCACAATGTTCGTTCCCGTACTCCTCCGAAACGGCTTGACCGATTCTCATGAAATTTTGTGTGCACATCGGGTAGGTCTGAGAATCGACCAACATCTATTTTTCATACCCTTAAATGGTAAGGGTGACCCATCCCTAATTTTTTTTTTGTTTTGCAATACAACGTTTGCCGGGTCAGCTAGTACTCATATAATATGCTTCTTAATAGAGTAGTTACTAGTAGAAACATACTCGTAGGTTAGCAATAAATTTTAATGCCAATTCAAAAACAGTTAAAGAAGTTAAAAAAATGTGTCCAAGTTTCAGTAAATGTGTCCAGTACAAAAATAAAACACTCGCATACATCGCTGTTGATTATCATGTATAAAATGCGCTCTAAAAATTAATAGTCAAAGTATGCATCATTTAATATAGGCATGTAGCAAGCTTCTACTTAGTCCAGAACACAAACTATCTTCAAGAGCATGGCTTTCTGTAGTTTAATATATTCTTGAAAACAAAGAATGCAGGATAAAAATTATAAATCTCACCTGTAGTACTGTCAAATTAGCTTCCTGACTCAAAGTAATCTTTTCAGCGTCGCTTGGATAGGCGTTATATCTGTGATCATAAAGCCATCTCTTGAGAATTTTCACGGAGGGTTTGGGCAAGTTCCCCCTGCGCTTGCGGATGGACACGATGCCGGGCGGCGGGGTGGGCTGTCCGCCGTGCACGAGGCTAGCGCGACGGGAGCGGTCGGCCTCGCCATCTGTGCCGCTCTCGTTATCATCTGTTGATGATGTTGATGGGAACCGCTCGCGGCCTGAAAAAGAATATATATTTAAAAAAAAACTATTTTTACTGTGTATAACAGTTGTACTAAACATTATTACTAAGAATGAATGAGGTTAAATCTACATAAACACGCTCACACCTATATCCAAGAAGAGGTAAGTGGAGGTGTTTTAAAGGTCTTTATGTTTTGTTAGTGGGAGAGCCATGTCATTACATTGTCTCATGCATAATTTATCATGGCTCAACCAAAGTGATACTGCGGTTTCACAGAAAGCCAGGTTAAGCAATTCTTTCGTTGCTTTTCTGAGGACCGAGTGCAAGTTTATTTCATATCGATTGGCTCTCGACGGCGAGCGCGTTTAGCGTTGCGATTGGTGGATTGGTGGATTTCTGTGCGGACCAATCATAGCGTCGAACGCGGTCACCGTGACGATCTAGTAGAAGTGAAATAAACTCGCACTTGGCACTCGTGAGTTCTTTTCGAGTTTGTGAGTTTACCGAGCTCAACTCTACTGCCCCTGAACGATTGCAACAAGATTTAGGTTATCACATTCATGTCCCAAAGTTACAAAACTTAGTTAGTGCCTTAATAACTTTTTTGCAGGAATGTAAATGTTGTCGCCTGTAGTATTACCGGACCGACGAGACTTTCAAGAAAAGAGCATACTCCTACCTCAAAAGCCGGCAACGCGCTTGTGACTACTGAGTTTCAGCCGTCAGTGGGCCGCGGTAGTCACTTATCATAAGGCGACTTATTTGCCCTCCAAATCATTAAAAAAAGCAAATTTTGTTAGTTTTACTATCTCACGGGCCTGTTGGTCTATTGGTTTTTTATTATGTTAGAGGGGGCAGACGAGCAGACGGGTCACCTGATGGAAAGTGTTAATGACCCTGACTGATAAACCGGAGATCGTGGGTTTGATTCCCACACAGAACAAATATTTGTGTGATGAGCAGGATTGTTTGTTCCGTGTCTCGGTGTAATTTATCTATAATATGTATGTGTTGAAAAATATATAAGTATGTTTATCAGCAGTCTGGTTATCATAGCACAGGCTCTGCCTAGTTTGGGATCAGACTGCCGTGTGTAAAATGTGTGAGGTTATTATATTATTCCTTTCTTCCTCCGAGCCTTTTTTCCCAAACTAGGTTGGGTTCGCTTTAAGTTAATTACGCGGAGCCACTGCCATCAGACCTACACAATCCAAGTACCTACTAGGCGATATAGCAGTTCTGTAGAAGGACTTGTGGAAGTTTTCAGGCTCCAACCACCCGTAACGATTGCCACAGATGTTCGTTAAGTTTAAGTTATTAAGTTATATTATCTTACTAGCTGAGACCCGCGGTGTTACCCGCGATTATTGTTATAACCGCGGGCAACGCCGCGGGGTGAAGATAGTCTAAAAAAAGTAGCCTAATGCCCGGTTTCTGAAGTTCCCAGTTATACTCTCATTAGCTATTGGTACAATAAAGTTATGTATAGGATAAACGTCGGTTAACTGTCACTGCGTTTCTGAACACGTAATGAACCGTTCAATAACTATCAAACAGATAAGCAGTTCCATAATCTGCCGTTAGATGGGTCTGTTTAAGAGATCAAGTTTAAAATTGGTTTTATTATTTTAATTCAGGATTATTACTAGCTTTATTTACGAGAATATTTTATTCAAGGGTAAATAAGTAAATAAGCATTGTTTTAGTTATAAATGATTAAAATTCGCTATTTATCAGCGGATGAATGAACGACATCGTAGTCAATTATTTTTTTTAAATAAACGTCAAACTCATTGATGTCAAAAAAAAGTTTCGTCTAGTTTCATCGTGGTATTATTTTTCTTTGCTTTTACCGTGGTCTTTGTTATCGTTTGTGCTTTATCTTAATTGAATTTAAATTCTTCATCCGTAAACATTTCGAAAGGATTTCTCCTACGTCTTAAGTTTCTAGGTACTGAAATATTAGAAATAAACTCCATTACTTCCAAATCAGACTCTGATGAGCTGCTCGTATTCATTACGTTAATTTTAATATTAAGTTTTCACTGACAATTTAATAATAACAGTTATAACCTAAAAGTTTATGTAATTTGCTTGAAGCAAAACGTCAAATAAAGTTATGAAATCGATAAACGGCACACATTGGTCAGTTAAGTTAACCTAAGTTTAAACGGAGTTTATCTTACATTGCGATGTTCAGAAACGCACTTTCTTAGGTTATCGAACCAGGGGTGCGGGTCGGGTAACCTCCACGTGCGTCGCCGTGTTTCTTGTCCCTCATGACCACTGTGTTCTGGGGGAACGGAAGCAGGGGGCCGGTGCATCCTGGGCGACGGTCAATAACTTCCCTTTCAGGGGTGGGTATTGGCCGCCGGCAAATAACTCGGCAGGGGGGGGGGGTAAATAGCTCTCGGTACTTCTCTGTTCACCAGAGGAGACTGGACGAGCGAAGGGGTTGTAGGCAGAGGCCGAGGTGGGATCCGTATGGAATCCAAGGGCGGGTCGACCCACTGCTTACGCAGGGGCTGACAAGCACCAGTGCTGCCGCCGGTGAGGGAGGGTTAGCCACCCTCTCGCATTTCGTAACCAACAGGGGTTCAGCAACGACCCAATTGGTGGCTTCAGGAGGGTACGCTGAGAACTTGTTGGCCGGAGGGCTTGCCTTAATTGGCCGACCCATGACAAGGACAGTCTATAACACCCGACAGCAAAGTCGTTAAAACCTGTGGATACCGGCCGACCTCTACAGTATATAGGCTTATCCGGGTGCAGGGGGCACCGCCCGGATGGACTTCATTTCCCCCATACTCGTGGGATTAAATATGGATATTAACACAATAAAACAAAAACCAACAACAACGGACGGATCTACTAACGACATTGGCTTTATCCACAACGGACAACGAATTTTCAGAGAGGAGAAGCGCTCAACTAAGGCGAGCGAGAGTGACGAACAGCGGTTGCGGTCGCGTTTATTAAAAACACCTTTCTTCAGACCCTCCACTCCGCTGCCGCTTGATGGAGGTGATCGAGGTGGAGAGAGCGATAGCTCAGCCTCGATAGGGTCGGAGAGGGAGACACGCAGGCAGTCGCGAAAGCGTGGGAATAGTCGACACGATGATGAGGACGGAACTGGTTTGGCGAAGCGGGCACACAGTGTCAGTTACGCAAACCAGCCGAGCTCAGCAGAGGTTGGGGCTCAAATTCTGCTAAGTCTGGATGATGTCGAGGAGACATTGGACAGACCCCGCAGCACGAAGGCGGAGGTAATGAGCTCCATTCGTCAGGCCCTGCAGACTCTGCGGGACGGCGTTAAGGAGCTCTGCAACAGAGCGGTGACACGCGAGTACGAGGAGGCGTCCGTGCAGAACCAGGCGTCATCATCGTCGCTGGCGGACCGGGTGAGGGAGAACGAACCTCTTACCCAGACAAAGTCAGTGGCACCGTCTTCGGCGGTGCCGCGGAGATCGTCGGCCACAAAGGTGGCGGAAACGATCCCGCTGCCTTCTACGATGGCGGAACTGGGGCCGAAAATGGGCTCGCCGGTGCCACTGGCCCGCCCGGCAAGGGAGGACCACCCGGACTGGGAAGAAATTGCGGCAATCATGAACCGTGAGTTTGCCCGATTCCAGTCCGGGCTTTTAGCTAGGTTCTTCCCAGAGAGAGGTGCCAGACCCCCTCTAGGCCAAGGACGGACTCCAATGGCGCGGCAGGCGGATGTAGCAGCCACTGCGCTCTCTTCTTCTTCCGAGAAGAAGAAGAAGAGAAAAAAGAAGAAAAAGAAAGTGAAAGGGCTGGCGGGGCAGCTACTGACCCCGGTAACGAGTCAGGCTTCCATCAGCCTGAGAAGGTCTACCCTGCCGGAACCAGCGGTAAGGCAGGAAGGGGGCACCTGGGCCCAAGTTGTTGGGAGAAAAGCCCGGGCTACCGCTGCGAGACAGGGTGCGGTTGCTCCTCCTGTCTCGAAGCCGAAGAAGCCGCAATTACCGCGACCCCCCACCAATGCCGCCGTCGTGGTCGCAGTGCCTCCGGGATCCAGTACCTCACTGGCGGAAGTAATGCAGGCCGCAAAAGCCCGTATTAAGCTGGCGGAGCTTGGCATTACGGGCGGGGTCCGTCAGCGAAAGGCAGTCACAGGGGGCCTAGTACTGGAGGTCCCCGGGCCGGACAGCGCTGCCAAAGCGGACGCTTTGGCCGAACGCTTGCGCGCGGTCATGGGCGACACAGATGCGCGATTTATGCGTCCGTGCAAGACGGCTGAAATGCGGGTGATGGATTTGGACGAATCCATCACCGCCATCGAGGTTGCGGAGGCAATAGCCGCAGCGGGTGGCTGCTCCCCGTCCGACATCAAGGTCGGGGAGATACGCAGAACCGCAGCCCGATTGGGAACGGTTTGGGTCCGGGGCCCACTTACAGCAGTACGCCAAGCTGCAGCCGCCCAACGCGTGCAGGTGGGCTGGGCGTCGGTCCGTATCGAAGCGTTGGCACCTCGGCGCTTGCAATGTTACCAGTGCCTTGAAATGGGACACGTCAGGGTAAAATGCTCAGGTCACCCTGACAGGAGTGGGCGCTGCTTCCGCTGCGGAGAATTGGGCCATAAGGCCCGAGACTGCGCAGCTAATGCACCGAGGTGTCCGGTGTGCAGCGACCACGGCCGGCCCGCCAACCATCGGCTGGGTAGCAAGAGCTGTTGCCCACCGAAGCAGCAAAGGAGCGGAGAGGTCCAACCTCGCCCTGCCTTTGCCCAATCGGACAAACAGCCAGTGTCGAGTGGTAACTCGACGGGAGAGGCAATGGAGGCTTAACATTCCCACCACACGCAAGGATTCTCCAGGGCAACCTCAACCACTGCCGCGCAGCGCAGGATCTATTGATCCAGACACTTGCGGAGCAGTCGGTTGCCCTGGCAGTCATTGCAGAGCCCTATACCGTCCCGGACCATCCGCGTTGGTTCGGGGCGGTCGATGGCTCAGCGGCCATTTATTGGCCGGGTGGGGAAGGCTTCCATTGCTCTCTCCTAAGAAAGGGTGC